AAAGGATAACATCATTAGAAGGCAGTAAATGCTATGGGGAAAATTACACAGTGATGTCATATTGGAGTGACAGGGTAACCAGTTTAGCTGTTGACTTAGAGAGGGCTTCTCAGGGGTGGTGACATTTTAGCGGGACAGTGAGGAAGAGAAAGAACCAGCCTGGGGGAAACGGAGGGAGGGGTCTTCCAAGCAAGGGAAACAGCAAGTGCCAAAGACAGGAGTGAGTCAGGGAAGGAGGTGGCCAGGGGCCCCTCTTGAGGGACCTCGTGGGACACAGCCCAGCTGGGGCGAGAGGCGAGGCCGAGAGACCTAGGGGAGGTGAGAGCCAATGAGGAGCAGAGTCTGAGGGACGGGCTGGACTGAGCAGGCTCAGGATTGGCTAGTCTGAGGACAGGAGGCGGGGCCTGAGGGAGCGAGGGCGGGGATTGGCCGCCGGGCACTCACCGTGCGGGAGGAGGCGGGGGCGGAGGGCGAGGTGAGCGAGACCATCTCCTGGATGGCCAGGCGCAGCTTGAGCCGGTGCAGCGGGTTGCTGATGCCGATCTCGCGCTGGATCTCCGTGTCCGACAAGTTGGCCATGATGGCGCCACTCTTGACGTTGGCCCGGCAGGCGGCCACGTACCACGCGGGCATGCCTACCCACAGCTGCCGCGGAGGGACAGGGGAGGAAGGGACAGAGAGCACGGGAGGAGAAAACGGGCAGAGATGGGGGCAGCGAGATGGCGTGGGAAACAGAGACGTGGGAAAGTTCGCAGGGAGAAGGCGCAGGTAGGACAGGCGAAGAGATGTGGACGAGACGTGGTGGGAGAATCCCAGGGAGGCAAACAGGAGGGACAGAGAAGAGTAGTGCCAGAGTGGGGGGCGAAGAGAGGGAGGGACAGACAGCATCGAAGAGAGAGAGAAACAACAGGAGACCAGGACCCAAGAAGGCATGGCCAGAGGGGCAGCAGAAGGGGAAGGGGAAAAAGCTGCTTAGATGAACAGGAAGCCTGACCCCTGCCCGGCCCTCACGTGCCCAGCCCACCCCCTCCCCCACCTCTGGGCTGGGAGCAGGACCGACCATGCTGGGTGGTCTCCCATGGTCTCCGCCAGCTCCTGGCAGTGGGGCTGTCAGAGGGGCTGGGGATCAACAGTCAGGGCGTTTCTGGGCCCCAGTACCTCCAGCCAGGAGACCACCGTGGGCCCATCCCAGGCAGCAAAAGGCAGGCCCTGGCGGCAGGCCTCTTCCAGGAGTTCGTGCCTGGAGGGGGGTGGTCAGGGGCCAGGACGTGAGCGGTCAGGGATGGAGACCCCCAGCCCTTCGGATGGCCCCTTCACCACACACACTCATAAAAGCACTTTTTATGAATGTAGGAAACATGGTAGAAGGTCAAGAAATACATGTGAATCTCTGTAAATCCTTCACACACACACCCAAATCCCCCTCAAGAAAGAGAAAAAATAAAGAAAAACTCTAGGAGTTCCCAGGCAGCAAGCAAGTTAAAGATCATGGACATCTCCACCTCCCAGCATTTTTTTTTTTTTTTTTTTTAGAGACAAGGTCTCACTCTGTTGCCCAGGCAATCATAGCTCACCATAGCCTCAAACTCCTGGCCTCAAGAGATCCTCCCACCTCAGCCTCCCAAAGTGCTGGGATTACAGGCGTGAGCCACCATGCCCAGCCCCTCCTAGCATTTTATTTTCTGTCTACTATCACCAGTCACACACACACACACACACACACACACACACACATTCGAACACTCACTTTCTCTTGTTCCTTCGGTCCTTGTCTCCCGGGCCTGTCAGCTTGGCTAGCCCCAGAGGGTCAGTGGCCAACGTCTCGTCTGAGGGTGTTCCAGCTGGAGGCAGGGAGGGGTCAAAACTTGGAAAGTCTCCAGAGGGAGGCAGAATCTCTCATGCTGGGGTAGTGAGAAAGATGCCAGGAAGGCAGAGGCCCTGAGGGAGTAGTGAGTAAGGCCATATCCGGGAAGTTATAAAACCAGACAGGAACCAATGTCACCTCCTAGGCAGTGAGTTGAAGATATCCCCAAACAGGGCCAGATTCGCTGGGCTGGCTGGCCTTGGTCAGGTGGCAGTGGTGTGCTGGTAACTGCCTAACAACTGGCTCCCAGGGAAGAGAGAAGGGATTTCCTGATTTTTAGCGACTGCCAATTTCCATGGTGTAAATAATCCCATCATGGCCAATTTCAAGCTACCAATATGAGGTCAAGCAGCTCACAAAATTCCTGAAACAACTGCTCTCAAAAGCCAGTACAAGCAGACTTCAGTATACCACAGGAAGGACCCTGCCTTTAGGATGCTCCACCCTCTTTCTCTATTTAAAAAATAGGCAGATGAAAAACAAATTTATTTACCCACCCAGTCACCAGGCAGGCCCCAGAGGGCTTTTTCCCTCCTCCTCCTTTCTACCTCTGCCAAATTCTGGCAGAGATATTCTAAATGATCACCAAATGAGTGGAAACACGAGTGAATGTTAAATCTATACGGAACGTGGGAGAGAGGGAAGAAGGAAGGAATAAAAGAGGGAAGACTTGGAATTGGGGTACTCACCAAGAGACGAGCTGTCCCGGCCTGGGGGTCCCATTCGCCCTTTCTCTTTCTTGCCAAAGAGACGGCCTATGGATGACTTGATGCTCTTCTTCTTGGGGGCTTTGTGCAAGGAATCTGGGGTGCCCTCACTGGGTAAGGAGAGAGTGAGGCAGACCCCTTCCGGGCTCCCCCGTCTCCTCCCAAGTCCTTGTCCACTTTCCTTTCTCATCCTCCCAAGCAAGCCCCTCCCAGTCCCCATCCCTTGTCCCTGCTGACCTTCCCCGTGAGGGTCCCCCATCTTCCAGGGACCCTGCTTGAAGTGCCAAGGCCTGGGTCATTCTCTCAAGACGGGCAGAGCGGGGGGTGGGAGGTGGGGTATCTCCTGGGATGGCCGGCCCCTCCCCTCGTGGAGCCCCAGCTTCCTCCTTGGGGACATGATTCTGGGGACAGATAGGCATAGATGCTAGATTAAGCTGGAGGAGTCATGTTGGAGCTTCTCATTAATCGGAGTCTACTATGGCGTGTCTGGGATGGCCCCGGTTTGGGGCGCCATATCTGAAGATCGCCCAGATCAAGTGGGGGTGAGTTGCAAAAACACAGATGCAGTGAGTGCAGTTACTCCCATTTTTAGTATCTTCCCTTTTGGTGTCAGGAGCAGGACACACTCGATCTCAAAGAAAGCTAATGAGTAACAGGTTCTGGAATCAGAAAAGTTGGATTTAAGGCACTAAAATAGGGCCAATATCTCTTGTCTCCCTTAAAAGTCAAGAATCGAATTATAGTTCTTAAATGTATGTTTAGTCACAGAAACTATTTTTTAATCCTATTCAGAAACTCGATGTATAAGACAAGTAAGTAAAAGCAGACCAGACCTAACTAACGTGAAAGTCGGGGTTCAGGAGCACAGTGACTTTGCCTCCGTTTGCCCCTTGAGTTGGAACCTCTAGGGAAAGCTGAGGCTGTTTTGGAAAGCCACTGGCGTGAGGGGTTATTGTTGGGGTTATTTCTTGGGGAGCCCTGTTTCTGAACTCTCCCCACCTCCCCACCCGTCTGAGCCTTCAGAACACTCACGGCCTTGTCGGTGCCCTCCCGGGCAGGGCTGGGGGGTGCCAGACGGGGTGTTGAGTGGCCAGAGCTGGGAGGTGACGGGCTGGCAAGGGTAGAGGTGGTGAGGGAGGGGGGCAGTGAGCAGCTGCTACGGTAGCGGCCCAGCGAGTCCAGGCCAGAGCTGGACACGCGGCTCTCCAGCTCCTCTGCCCTCTGCTCCGTAGTCTCCTTCTCCTCCTGGATTAGCCTGAGCAGGGAAATGGGGGAGACTGGGTGAGAGGGCTGCAACACACAACGGGACAGGAAGACTGGAGATCACAATGGGCCAGGAAGGCTTGGTGGGCAGGGGGAATTCTAGGCGCAATGAAGTCACAGGGTTCTGGCGGATTCATGAAGGCCCCATGGGTTCAAGGGGCATCAAAGGGTCAGGACAGTCTTAGCAAGTCATGGAAGGACTGTCAAGGTGATCAGGCTCTGCATTAGGGTGGCCCTGATGATAGCCAAGTGTTTTCTAGAAAATCATAAAGGGATTACTATGGGCAAGAGATCAAGTTCCAAGGAAGATTGCTAGAATAAGGTCACAATAAGAGCAGGGTGAGATCAGGGACTCTGAGGTCAATCTAGGATCTGGGAAGGTCATGGAATCATTGACTATTTGAGATTTGATACAAGTCAGTGTTTGAATGGAAGGTCGTGGTCATGTGGGTATATTTGCTGGGGGCAGTAGGGAGTGTCTTACTATAGGAGAACTGCTCAATAGGGCAAGTGTTGGAGATTGAAGTGGATGTTACATTAGTGGGGATTTTTAATGAATTGAGGACTTTTGTCATATTAGGTAGAAATTCTTGGAATATGGAGTTGAAGTTCTTGATTAATGTGTTAGGATGAGATTCTTGGTGTTTGGGGTTAGACACCTTGTTTTGTTCTTGTGTTGAGATTCTTGGGGTCCTGGAAGACTCTGGGTACTGCTTATATGAAGCCACAAAATCCATGGCATATTGGAAGATTCTGGATGTATTGGCTTGAGGAATCTGGATGTATTTTGGAATGCAGTCATGGTGTGTTGGGAAATGGTGAGTGCTAATGGAGGGATATATATGCATGTAGCACACAGAAGACTTCTGAGTGTATCCTGGGGGATTCCTGAGGGTAAGAGAGAGTGTTGGGCTGGGAGAATTTCTCATGGATGGTGGGAGAGGAGGTGGGCTCAGGGCTTCAGATCAGTTTCCAGAGCCAAAGGGGCTGCAGGGTCAGCTCAGGCGGGGCACAGAAGGACAGGGCCAGTGCTCACTTGATCTCCTTGTTGATGGCCTCCAGCTGCTCCTGAAGCATGATGGCCAGCGTCTGCACGTCAGCCTGCCCACTGGGGGACAGCAGCTCGGCCCCAAACATCCCTTCTGCCTCTTCCTCGTCTGAGCCATCCAGCTCCCCAGGGAATGGGGGTGGTATGGAGCCTGCAGGGGCAGATCGCTCCCAATCCTGTCTCTGTGTGGGGACAGAGGGACACCAGGTAGGTGGGTGTGAAGGTTGGTGCTGGGTCTTTGCTCAGTGATCCTGACCTTGCCCACCCCACCTGACCCTGCCCACTTGCCCTGATGCCTTTCCCAGCCTAGCTTTCTCGCTTGATATCTTGGTATCATGATAGCTCACTGCAACCTCCAACTCCTGGGCTCAAGTGATCCTCTTGCCTCAGCCTCTCAAGTAGCTGGGACTACAAGTCCATGACACCACACCCAGCTAAATTTTTCTATTTTTAGTGGACATGGGTCTCACTGTTGCTGAGGGTGGTCTCGAACTCCTATACTCAAGTGATCTGCCCTCCTGCCTTGGCCTCCTAGAGTGCTAGGATTACAGGCCAGGTTCCTGTACTTGACCCCTCCCCACAGCCATGCCCTCCAAGCCATGCCCACGCCCATGACTCCGCCCCTTCCCCATGAGCCCGCCCACTTCTCTTCTCCACCTGGCCCCACCCACTCTGGGATTCTTCACCCCTTTCCTCATCCCAGTGTTATTCTCATGTTCTCACCAGGTAGCAGGACATCCACATGAAGAGACATCCAGGCAAGAGGGATGATGGGATTGTGGGAGAAGGACAGAAGACAGGGTGAGTCCAGGAGACCCTGCCTCTCAGCCCAGCCTCCTCCCACAGCCCCAGGGATTTCCCACCGCTGCCTGCCCAAGCCCTACACAGTCCAGGCCCCAGAGTTAGCTGCTGACCTTGGAGGGCTCATCCTTGACCCCTGACCAGCGGCCCCTCTTGCCTGCCCGGCCACTGCCAGCCCCATAGGGGTCCAAGTGGGCACCAGAAGGTAATGTGGGTGCCTGGGAGTAACGGAGCTCCAGGGCACTGCCAGGGAGAGACCTGTTGTAGGCATGGAGAGGGCAGTCAGGGACCAAAGAGAACAGAGGTCAGGGGTCACAGAGATAGGCCTGGGGTCAGGGGTCATGAAGTCAGGGTCAAAAACAAGAGGGATCAGTGGAAGTCTCAGGAGGACAGTTAACTGGAATCAGAAGGGATGAACTTGGCCAAAGGGGATCCATGGGCAGAGGCGGTGCAGGAGGACTATTGTCACCTGGAGTAGGAGGATGGTGGCCTCCCCCTCAGCTGGTCAATCTCCATCTGCATCCGTTCCATTTCAGCCAAGAGCTGCTCCTGGGGGGCAGAAGGTTGGAGATGTCAGGTCAGAATCTGCCCCGCCCCTAAGGGACACCCACTCCCAGCCTTGCTGACTGAAACCTCAGCAATCCCTGCCCCGCTTCCCTCCTCCTGCCCCTCCAGGTCCTGCCCTCAAGGCCACCCTACCTTGTTAAGCAGCAGCTCATCCTGAAGCTTCTTCATGTTGGCTATCTCCTCGCTCAGTGAGTTCTGTGAGGACAGGAGCGAAGGGAGAAAGTGGGGCCTGTAGAAGGCATGCCCTAGTCCCAAGGGGACTCAGGAGGAATGAGATGGGCACAACTGGAGAGGTGACGGGGAGGGCGATGTGGGACCAAGGACACATCTGGGGAGGGAAGTCGTGGGAGCCCAAGGATGGACACTGCCTGTAATCTCAGAGGATTGAGGGTTTGAGGGTCTATAGGGTTAAAGGTTTGGGGAAAAGCCGAAGACTCGGGGTATGGGTGGCCCCAGAATTCAGCTCTTAGAGTGTTTAGAACACCTCCCATTCTCACTCCCTCAAACCTCCAGGCCCTGCCCATTCCAAATGTTCATCACTGGGTGGAAAAGTGTTCTCGGAAAAAAATAAATAAATAAATAAATAAAAAAAGAAAAGTGTTCTCGGCAGTAGAGCAGGGAAGTCTGTCAAATTCAGGATGCCCAGGTTTAGGGAGAGCTCAGATAATGAATGCATCGAGGGACAAGGTCTGGGACCCCAGGATTCCAGCGAGAGGCAGTCCAGCATTCCTGGTCATCACAGTCCTGGGTTGGGGCGCACCTTCTCTTCCAGTGCCCCCATGCGCTCCTTGAGGTGAAGCTGTAACCGCTCGTTGGACTCGCTCAGCAGCTTGTCCACTGTCTCAGACAGCCGCTTATTGTGGTCATCGTTCATCTTCTCCCGCTGGCGTGCCTGTCCAAAGGACAGCAGGGCAGGGGTGCTCAAGCCCATCCTGCCCAGAGTACCACCCCTGCTCAAAGCCCCGCCCCATCCCTGCCCCTCACCTAAGCCCCGCCCCAACCTCAAAGCCCCACCCTCTCTACAGCCCTCAGCCCCTCACCCGCTGCAGCTCCTGGTTCTTCTCTTCCAACTGGGCCTCCAGCTGTCGAAGCCGTTCCTCAAAATTCCCATGACGTTCCTCAGCCTGGTAGTTGGAACCCACAGCGTGGTGACTTTACCCCACCAGGATAAAGTCAGGCTCCAGGCCCCATCTCCTTCAACACTGGGTGCCAGGCCCCGCCGCCAGAGTACCAGGTTCCTCCCCTGCACCTGCGGTTCAGGCCCTGCCCCTGTGCCTAGTCGCCTAGTCTAGTGTCTCAGGACCTGTTCTGTCACTCTCAGGTTCCAGGCCACGCATCCCTTCGGTCCAAGGTAGAGAACATATCCCACTCTCACGCCCCTGCAAACCTCCAGGCCCTCCCCATTCCAAGTCCTGTCCCTTCGACCAGAGCCCAGGCCCCGCCCTTTCCACAGAACCCAGGCTGCAGGCCTAGCTCCTACCCCTCCAGACCCACGGCCCCGCCTCCTCTAGACCCGCCCCAGACTCCGGGCCCCCACCCAAGGCCTTCGCTCACCTTGTTGAGCGCTGCCACGCGCTGGGCCAGCTGCGCCTCTATCTCGGGCAAGGTCTCAGCCTTCTGCAGCGTCTGCTGCAGCTTCTGCTTGGCGTCGTCCAACCACTCGGCCAGCTGACGGCTCTTCTCTTCACTCTGGAGGAGGGAGAGGCAGAGGGAGGGAAGGGGCTAGGTCACTCGGGCCACAGCTTCGCCCCCAACGCCCCTTCCCGGCTGCGCCCCCACCTGCCGGTACAGCGACTCCTTGCTGGCCAACTCGTTCTCCAGCTTGTCGTTGGCGTCGTGCAACGACGTGGCCTCGCGCTGGGCGCTCAGGTAGCGCTTCTCCAGCGTCGTGATCCGCTCCTCCATATCCTCCCGCTGCGCCAGCGCCTGAAGAGGCGGCAAAGGGCCTCGTGGACTACAACTCCCAGGAGTCGCTGGGGTAGCCTAGGCTTAGAACCCCCAGTCGAGGCCCCCAGGGTGTCCTGGGAAATGAAGTGCCCTGCTACCTGCGTGTCAGAACGGTGGTACCACACCTGCCAAGAGATCCCAGGACTAGCCCACCTTAAGTCCTCTGCCATCTGAGAGTTCAAATGGAGGTACTGCACCTCCCATGAGCTTCTAGGGAAGTACTGGCTTAAATTCTCCATGTACAGATGATCTAAAGCCCATGGGAAGCCCATGGGATGTGAAGTCTCTACTCAAGCCAATCTCCTCAAAACTCCAGGCCTTAGATTTCTCAGTAACTTCTAGCACAGAGCAGGCTTAGAATCACAGTAAGCGTCCTAGGATCTCATAGGAAACAAAGTTCCCATTTATCCGAAAAGCAACACCTCTCAAGAGCCACCAGAGTAACGCAGGCTTAGAACCCTAAAGGAGGGGCTCCAGGGTCTCATGGGAAGTGGACTCCCATCTGGTAGCCGGTATGGTGGAGCCACACTTCCCAACAGTCCCTGCGGCCATCCAGGCTTACAATTGGAGGCGAAGAACCTAGCAGATGGTGAGAAATGGAGTGTTCACTCTTCTTTCTCATTCACTACCTTCAAGAATCCTGCCCCGATGTTTCCTAGCAGTTCCCTAGGGCACGGGGTTTAGGATCAAGGGCAGGGAGTGCAATGCCAAAAAATAATTCAATTTAGAGGCACCAGAGAATGTCCCAATGATAACTATGACCAGTTACTGACCACCTACTATGTGCCACATGCTAACCCTCTGATAAAAGTCATAAATCCCATTTTATGGATAAGGAAACTGAAACTCAGAGAGGAAGAGAGGCCACACAGCTGGTAGACTGAATCCAGGCTCCACCATTCATGAGCTCTGTGACTTCGGGCAAAGAGGGAGAGGGTCAGGGGAGGGGAGGGACAGAGGACAGCCCACCAGAGGCTCGGAGCTCACCTCCTTGAGGTCTCGCTGCAGCTTGGAGTTGGCTTCCTCGGCCTTGCCCAGCTCGCGGTGAGCAGCGCCCAGCTCCTCCTCCAGCTGGCTCATCTGACGGCACAAAACCGCCAGGCGCTCCCGAAGCTGGCACACCTCTGCACGCTGCCGCTCCAGGGCCTCCTCCAGCTCCGCTGTGCGACGGTTTGAATCTCCGCCAGGACCCAGGCCATTGGCAAGGGTCTGGAATGAGGGAGGAAAGGGCAGAACCCAGAGTGGGGAGCACAGAGACATAGCGGGAATGCAAGGAGAAAGTTGATCAGCTCAGACCAGGGAAGGCTCAAAGGTAGTAAGGGTCATGCAAGTCCGAATCCACAGGGTCAGCGAGGGTCACAGAAGTTAGCTAGGTGACCTGAATCAGAGGTCAAAGCCCAGTAAGGGTCTTAGGGGTTCAGATGTCTTAGGGTCAGTGAGGATCACACCAAACATTAAAAAGACCATCACAAAGTCAGGGAGTTGAGTGGAGGTCACCGAGGGGGGACTTCCATCTCACCTGCCCCTCCCCATCCTTGCCCGGCTCTTCCAGCCCTGACCGCCGCCTAGACAGCTGCTCTCGAAGGCTCAGAGTCTGGAAGAGTGAAAGAGGAATCAAAACCAAAGGGCTCCTCCAAACCCCAGCTTTACTGCCTACTGGTGCTGGCCCTCTGAGGGGATAGGTGCCCCCATCTGAGATGCCTCTGGTCCTGCTGGGGTCACCCTTACCTCAGGGTCTACTCTTAGACCCTGTGGCCCCATTGTATCTCTCCATAGCTGCCGCCATCCAAGCAGTCTACACTAACCCTTACTCTTAGCCTCCTGGTGGAGGGTTCCTGTTTAGCCCCGCCTTTCCCCATCCAACCACCTCCTCCCTAGTCCCAGCTTGAGCCTGGGGCCCTGGTTCTCACCTAGGTCTCTCCCCTTAGCACTCCCCATTCCTCCTTAGGACCCCCCGCTGGTTTCTCTCCACAGTACAGCCCCACTGGTTCTCTGCCCTAGTCCTGCCCCAGTAGGTTCTCTTTGGAACCCACCCAATCAGCTCTGCACCATTGACCACCCATTAGCACCTCCCCTTCTTGGCCACGCCCCCACCTCCTGATTGCTCAGCTCCAGCTCCTCCTCTAGCACTGCCACTCGCTCCAGCGCCATCCGCAGCCTCTCGCGGACCTGGGGATGCGGACAGGACAGGAGTCAGATGGAGACCAGACCCTGCCCCCAATCTAGGACAGTTGACCGTGGCCAGAGCACCCCTGGGACAGCTCTGATAGGGCACCAGCAGGACTCTCTCCATAATGGGTGTGCAGCCCCAACCAGCTACCCAGGAAGCCCCACCCGCTGGTAGCCCCCACCCTAATTCATTTTTCTATTCTAAATCAGTCAGGTCCTTGTCCCTCGTAGCCTGTCCCGATGAATCACAGTCAACATTCTTCCCACCCCCCACGCAGTCACAGCCAGAACCTCTCCTCTTCAGGACAGCCCGAGTCAACCACGGGTTTCCATTCCCCCCCCCTCCGGCTTTTCCAATTCCCATACCTTCTCATCCAGGGCCTTGTGGTGCTCGAAGAGGGACTTTAGAGCCTTGAGCACTTCCACCTCGGAGGAGACCCCGCCTGGGGACTGGGCCTGGCGCTTCACCACGGTCATGCGCAGTGACCTCTCGTGCCTGGACACCAGGCACTCCAGGTGTTCCAGGAGGAGCTACAGGGATAGGGCAACGGGTCAAGAAAAAGAGGCAAGGGAAAGGGGGCAGGATTGAGGAAAAGGGTGACAGGTGGGACGGACACATGGAGGAAGAAATGGAGCCGAGCGAAGGGGCACCGAGAGAGTCGGGTCAGGAAAAGAGAGTGATAATAAAGGAAGGGTAGGAGTCAAGGAAGGAGTGGTACAGAAGAAGAGAAAGTTATGGAAATAGGGAGAGAACACGGAAGGAGTAGGACCAGAGGAGGAGACCAGCCAGGAAATGGGAGCAGGGAAGAGGAAAAGACCTGCAGGCGAGATGCGGGGCGTGGGGGGGGGGCTGCAACCCACGAGGCCACGCCCACCCCGCTTAGGCCCCGCCCCTAACTCCCCTCACCCGCGTGTTGTTCCTCTCAGCCTTCAGCTCTGCAATCTCTTCCTCCCTCTCCAGCAGCTGCTCCCGACACAAGTTCAGCTCCTTTGTCAGAGCTGCAAACTCCTATTCAGGCACGGGCAGGATCGGGACAATCAGATCAATCCTCTCCGTCGCCTACATTTCACGGGACTGGAAGTTTGAAGGCCCCGCCCTCCCCGCTGAGTCCCGCTCCTTCTGGCCGCGCAGGCCCCGCCCACCAACACAGGCCCCGCCCCAGACTCCTCCCTTCCAAGCGGCAAGCCCTGCCCCTTCCGGGCGCCCCCTCCGCGGGGCCCCGCCTCCCTCAGGCCCCGCCCCGGCCCCGCCCAGACCTGAGGCAGGGCGATGCTGAGCTGGCGCTGCAGCGAGTCCTTCTCGTGGCCCAGCTCGCGCAGCCGCAGCTGCGCCGTAGCCAGCCCGTCTTGCGCCTCGCGCAGCGTCTCGAGCAGGCGCTCGCGCTCCGTGAGCATCGTGACCATGAGGCGCTCCAGCTCGCCGCCCGCCTCGTCCGGGCCCAGCGCCGAGCCCCGCCGGCCATCCTCACTGATCGTGGGCATCACCTCGCACATCATGGCGGCGGTGCCGGCCTGCGGGTGCGGCGAGGGGGCAGTGAACAGACAGGCCTCGTCCCGGCACAGGCAGAGAAACTGAGGCATGTCACTCTGATACTACATAGGGGCAACCGAGGTGAGGCAATCCAGGGACTGCCCAGAAGAAACTGAGGCCCAGCCACTCTTATCATGACACAGGGAAACTGAGGCACCACCACCCAGGCATTCTGCCAGGGAAACCACATGCTGCCAGGGGAAACTGAGATCTATCCACTCTAATTATGGCACAGGATAAACCTAAACCCATTGCTCTTTAGGAAAAGAGTCCTGGCCACCGGGATGTCAGACTCCGTAAGACACTGGCAGCAAACCTAGGCCTGACCCACTCAGGAACCCAAGCTGGGGGACCCAGCCATTGCCTGAGTGCACGTGGAACAGTCTCTACCTATTCCAGCTTTGCTGAGAATCTCCCTCAACTCACTGCATGGGTGAGAAAACTGAGGCCGAGGCCAGAACCATGTCTTAAGGAGGCCACAGGGCTGGGGACACAGAATTAGGTCACTAGGACGTGGTTACCTCTATAATCTTACAGGGATGGTCTTCACCTACTATCCAGCCCAACTCCTGCCGCCTTCACTTTCCCAGATTGCTAGCCCCTGGCTTCAGAAGACCCACTCCAAGTGAAGAAGAAGAAAAAAAAGCACAGCTATGGACCGTCCTCTCCACGACCCAGGAGTCCAAGAACTAGCTCCCTCTTCCCTCAGATCACAGAAGTCTAGGCACCCCCCAGTCCCTTTCCTCCCCAAGACCCAGGAATCTGAGCCTCCAGACCCCTCCTCCCCAGTCCCAGGAAACCACACCCCCAGGAGACAAGATTCTGGGCTCTCATCCTACTCCTTAGACCCAGAAATCCCAGCCCTTAGATTCCTCCTCCCTCAGGGCCTAAGAGTCCGGGTGCCCAGCTTCTCCAAGATCTGGGGGTTCTGGACTCTCCCCTCCGCCTGCAGCCCCAGCTCTTGGGGGGCTGTAACCAAGTGTAGGGGAGGAGGTAGGGGCGGGGTTTCTGGGGCAGGAAGGCAGGGCTTTGGACACTGGAGCCAGGGGAGGAGCAGAGATGAATGGAGGCCCCTTGAGCCACTCCCTCCCCACACATCAGGTCCAACGAGTCCAGCTGGCCTGGCCGAAAGCAAGAGGGACTTTCACTCTGTTCCTTCCTTTCCTTCTCCCCCTGCGGGCCTTGGCATAACCGGTTCTGACAGTGGATGATTCCCAGCCCCGCCCAATTATGTGGGCTGTGTCCAAAGTCTGGGACTGGGGCCTTGGACTCCTGGATCAGAGGAGGGGGCTGAGAGCCCTGGGACTGGGAGAAGGGACAGCTGGGTGCCTGTACCCTTGGGTCTCAGAAATGGTGCATCTGAGCATGTAGACAAGTGAATCTCAGCACTCAGAGTCAAGATTCCGGAAAATGTTTATAAGAGGGCAGGCCAATCTTAGGCCAAAAACCAACATGATATCTAAAACCCACCACAACACAGGATGTTTTAGGGAGGCTGCTTTAGAACCTTAAAGTCACTGAGAAGGAAATAAAAAACATAGACTATAGAAAACTACTGGCATGAAGACACAGTAGAGTGCAGTGGGCTTGGGGTAAGAACTGCACATAGGGCTACGCAGAGGGACATTTTCTAGAACTGAGGGCTAGAACCTACAACTCAGAGCCAGCCAAGAGCAACCCAATAACATAAAGAGTGTCTGGGTCAACCTAGGATCCCTAACTCAGAGAAGAGCCTACGATCATACCTAATGCAATACAAAACAAATGTAGTCAGGAGTATAATCTAGAACTCCACTAGGGATGAAGGTATAACACACAATATAGCAGGGGTCACATTCTTGGCTTTATCACCTGTCTAGATAATCCTAGAACTCAGAAAGCAAAAGATGTGTTCTAGAATTCAGAACATGCTCTGGAGGGGAAGAAAAACCTAGGAAGTAGCAAGAAGTTTGCCTAAAACTTAGAAGTGTCTGAAGGAAACTGCAAAAGGATGTGTGTTGAGAATTGAGAATTTTCTGGAATAAAGAAGGAGCTGTCAAAGGAGGGGGAGTAGGTGTTCTGGAAATAAGAACATTTCTAGGCTGAACACTCCAGAAGAAGAGAGAACCTAGAACATAGTTAGAATGCCAAGTGGCAGATGGAGGAGAAAGCCCACAATCCACCAGGGGAAAAGTTCTAAACTAAGGCTACACTAGGGAAAAGATGGACAGAGAAGGTGGGAATGAGTGGGTCTAGAACCTAGAACCTGAGGAAGAAAAATTTAACATAGCACACTTCAATGGGACTCTCCTAGATTTCAGAATGTGAAGTTAGATGGAACCTAAACCAGGGAAGTGCATTCTAGAATTAATAGTACAAATTGGAAAAAGGCTAGAGCACATACTTGGAACACATACATTTTTAAAGTTAGAATGACCCTGGGAAGAGAACAACGTGGCTGGAACCAAGAACATACATAACATGACAATTGAGCAGAAAAGAATTAAGGACTGGTTGCTAGAAATTTGGAACATGACTGAGGAGAGGGTGAGATGAGAATTTGGCTTGAGGATGTTATCTAGATATTTGAAAAGATAAATGGGAAAAAACATGTCTCGAATTTAGTATCTTGCCTAGAACTCAGACCATGCCTTGAATGAAGACAACACAGAGAAGTCATCTGGGGAATGTTCTAGAATTTAGAAGGAATCTAGAACATGGAGCAATGCAAGGACACATATGCAACTAGAAATGTGGAAGACAGTGGGTAGGTTCTAGACCACCTAATGAGCCTAGGCCACAGAACACATCTAGAGGAAGTGTTGTGAGTTTGGCTCTTCAGCCTGAGAGAGTGTTCTTTGAAAATGGGACCCATGATTGGCCCCAGTGGGGTGCTGGAAACATCTCAAGAAGCTGGGGTCTTAGGGGAAAGAGTAGAGAAGAGAATCCTGAAGCCCAGCACCTGAGATGATAAGGGGACAACACAGGGATTTGCCAAGGCCACAGGAAATGTGAAGTTGATGGGGGTGGTCATATGGCTGTGAGGACCTGGGTCTCTAAAAGTGACAGCTGAGGAGCTTGATACCTGGGGGAGGAGCAGGGATGGGATCCTAGACCCCTAGATCCTTGTGTAGGTAAAGGATGGGGGGTTAGAAGCTTAGAGCCTGAGTCCTTATTTGGAGGGAGGGCTGGGGCAGGTAGCCTCAGTGGACAGTACAGAACCTGGGTCTGAACTCCTGAGGCCCGGAGGGGATGCAGGACTGGGGACAAGACATCTAGGTCTCCAAGGGGGAGGATGGACAGAAATCAAAGAATTGCATTAATAATTGCTTTCTGGGTCCCCTAAAGGGAGAGAGCCCTGGTGCTTGAGTCCCTAAGGGAGCAGAGGTTGGGTGACAAGAAGCTTAATATATTTGTCTGAGGTTGCACAGGGGATGTTGAACTGGGTTCTGAAGGGGGCAAAAGCTGGGAAACTGGATTCTTAGGTCCTGACGGGGTGAGGGCTATCAGCTGGGTCCAGCAGATGGAGTGAAACACTGACAAGCTTCCAGAACAGGGTAGGAGCTGGATACCCGGGTGCCAAGGTCCCTAAGGTGGACAGGGAAGCGAAATTCAGAAGCCCTGGCTTCTCAGGGAGCAGCTGGAGTCCCAAAAACCTGGGGTGCCGAGGACCGGGCCAACAGCCTGGCCAGCAGAACGGTGAGGGCGACCGGGACGCCCGGGTCGGGGAGGGCCCGGGTATCCCCGGGTCAAAGGCGCGGCGGGGGGGATCCCCGCGCCGCCTGCGCCCCCTCCCTGGCGGCTGCAGCATGAGGTGGGGGAGGCGAGCCTGCCGAGTGTGCTGACCATGGACAGCTCCGGAGCGGGCCTGTGTCCAGGGCGGCCGCCCAGCCGGCCTGGACCGAGGAACGCGACCGGCTGTTGAAGCCGAAGGCTGAAGACCGGCAGACAGGGTGCGCGAATGGGGGACGATGCGGACGCGACGGGGGGCAGCTGGCTGTGGCCGGGGGAGTCTGACACAGCCTTGCGGGTGTCTGGAGCTCCCAGGACTGGGCCGAGAAGGGGGATCTAGGTTCAGAGGGGGGTCCCGGGGCTGCACTGGGAAATCCAGGCTCCTGGGCCCTAGAGGAGGTGCAAGGCGGCGGTACGCCTGGGATTCTAGGGTTCGGTTGGGGACTCTGGGCGCTGGGAGGGGCACGCCTGAGTCTTTGGGGTTGGGTTGTGAAATCTGGGCTCTGGGGTCCCCAGGGATAAGGAAGAGAATGCAGGATCTTAGGGAGGCGGGGGAGGCTCGCCGAGGGGTCCCCGGGGTGGGCGCTGCCAGGCGGGCCGGGCCGGGCTCTTACCTACCTGGTCCGCGGCGGCTGCGGGAGGAGCTGGGCTGCAGGAGGGACGTGGGGTGGGGTGGGGGGACCGGGCGGGGCCCCTGGCGACCGCCGGGGCCCGGATCTGTAGCTCCGGAGCCCTGTCTCCGCCGCTCGCGCGGGCTCCGCGTCTCTCGCTCCGGCTTGGGCGCTGGGGACCCCCCTCCCTGTCACGGTCTCACAGCCCTCTACCCCTTAAAATAGTCCCCTGCCCCTGTCACCGTTCAGCCTCCCCCCGCGAGGCCGCAGCCGCCAGATCCAGGGGTGCCCACCAGCGCCCCCAAATCCCACCTTCCCCCCCAAAAAATTCCTCCTCCCTCCCCCTCCCCCCCACAGCACCCGGGCGGTCGTGGCCCCTTTAACAGGAGACTGACAGACGGTGCTGGGTGGCCAATGGGAGGCGGTGTCGGCGCCGGCCGGCGACTAGACCCCGCCTCCGCACGGGCCGGGAGGGGTCGCGCGGGCGGAGAGCGGGAGGCGGGGCGTAAGGCGCGTCGGCCTATGGGCGCGCGGCGTCAGGCGGCTGGGGCGGGAGGCGGAGCTCGGCAGGGGGATGATGTCACCTGGAGCGAGTAGCGCGCGGTGTGGAACGCGAGTCGCGACCCCGGGTCCCGGCAGTGGCGCGCGCCGGCCCTCGCGGAGCACAGGACACGAAAGCCGGGCGGGCAGCGGGATGGGGATAAAGGTTGGATTTTAAGGCGGGGGCAGCTCCCGGAACGACTGCTCTGGTCGGGAGGTGGAGTGCCGGCCGGTGGGCGAGTGCACCTTATTCTGCACCCCTGCGCCCGCCTCGGGAACTGCACGCGGCACCCCCACCCGCGACTCCCACGCAGACGGTAGCGCGGCCTGCAGGGTTCCCCCGGCGGCCGCGGCCGATGGTTCGCTCCGCCCCGCCCACACACAGGCCGCCCACTGGCTCCTGCGAGGTTTCAGGACTCCGGAGGAAGGGGCTTGGCCTTCGCCCTAAGACTTAAGGGTCGGGGGCGTTGTCTTCAATTCTGCCCCCCCCCCGCCCCCGCCCCCAGACCCAGACTGGGTCCCTGACTTGTCTCTAGGAAGCCGGCTCCCCTCTGCCTTCAGACCTGGGGAGAGGTCTCTACTTCTGCTCTCAGACTCTGAAAAGGGGCTTCTGAAGGGCTTGGTCCGACCTCAGGTCCTCCCCCTCCCCCACACCTCAAGACACTCTAACCCCAGGTTGCAGGACAGACACACAGACACGCAGTGAGGTCATAGATCTTTAAATAAAGAGCCAGTGACAATAAATACTGTACAGGGGAGAGGGTGAAGGGGAGGGTCCGGATCTGCGGTTTCAGCCTCGAGATTCCAAGGACCTGCAAGGGGAGGAAGAGAGGGAAGCCATGCTCAGGGAGGGGCCCTGGGGAGCATGCGAGAGCCGGACCGGGGCTCCAGAGGCAAGGGCCCAGGGAAGTGGGTTGAGGGATTCCAGCCAGAGCGGGTTCCAGATCTCGGGATGGGAGGGAGCTAGGGGAAGTCCGTCAGAATGGCCTGGGTCAAGGGTCAGGATCCCAGAGGAGAGGGGCCAGGGCTGGGGTTGGCAATCCCAGGAATCATCGGCCTGGACTGGGAGTCCAGGGTAAAAGGGAGGCAGTGGGGTCCCCAGGACAGTGGTGACCCAAGGGCTCACGAGTAGCTCTGGTGCTGCTGGCGCCGGCGGGCGGAGCGCATCTTCTCAAATCGGGCCTCCATCTCCTCCAGCACTCGAGGCGTGTAGCGCACCACCAGCTTCACCGAGCCCTGGGCCGCCTTCAGCAGCTCCACCGCCTTCTCGTGCTGCTCACCCTCAACGCTCTGCAGGCCCAACACGGACAGCTGGGCCTGGGGCCTGCTGCCCTCACCCGGCCCCCACCAGGAAATGGGACCAACTGCTGCTGAGCCTGGTGCCAGCCCCCAGATGCCAAGGCCTCATGTCCTCCTGGAGGGCGAGTTATTAGCTCTTGCCTCAGTGCCCTCCTCCAAAACCTTGCAGGTTCCCTGTGTCAGGTTCAGCCCCACGTTCGGATGTCACTGGCCAGATGCCCAGGCCCATCGTTGTTGCCCCTTCCCCACAGCCCACTAATACCCTCTTGCCCTGACTCCCTCCTCTTTGTCCCCACTGCCTTGGCCCCAGCTCAGGCCTTGTCCTCTCCCTTCTGGACTCTTACCCCGGCCTCCTCCCTCGCCTCTCACCTCCCATCTCTCCCCTCGGTTCATCTCCCATAAAATCGCAGGCAGGTCTTTCTACATCTGCAAGCTGAGCTTATCCCTCCCTCCCTCACAGCCCTCCCATGGCTCCCCAGCACCCATGGGACAAAGTCCAAGCTTCTAAGGCTGGCACACAAGCCATGCATGGCTGACCCCAACCACTTATCCAGTTATGCCTCCATCTACTTCAACCCCAATGATTGTAATTACCTGCATGCCACAGACCTCCCTTAGAACCGAGCCCTTTCTCTTCAGCTCAGAGGAGAGCCAAGTCAGAATCCTTACCTACAACACCCTCAGCCTTCACCTTGTTTGCCTGAAGAACTCCTACTCATCCTTCAACACCCAATCCAAATGTTCCTTACTCTGCAAAAACTTCCTACAGCTACACTGGCCTGGTGCCACATCTGGGCTCTCACAATGCTTTGTGCTTCCTCATTATTTATGCCTCTGAGCAGGACTGTTTCAGTCATGGTTGACCTCACTTACCAGAGAGGAAGAGTCTTGAGTGTAGGGGCTGAGGCCAATTTCTCTTAGGGGCTGCAGCATTGCCCATCGCGGGGCTGGCCACAGAGGCAGGGCTCAATCAGTGCGTGTTGAATGAATGTCAAAAGCAGGGACTATGCTACCTTGGACAGACTGTACCCCCAGCCCGGCCTCAGCCCCCTGCTTACCACACCGTTCACCGACAGCAGTTGGTCCCCTCGCTTGAGGCCTCCGTGGCGGTCAGCCACGCCCCCTGGGATGACCCGGGAGATGTAGATGGGCGAGTTCTGCTCTTTGCCACCCATGATGTTGAAGCCCAGGCCCTCGTCTGTCTTGGGCAGCTCCACGACCCTGGGATGGGCATGGCCCTCGCTGGCTGTGAAGGCGGCCACTGTGGCCTAGGAGAGAGAAAGCGTCAGGAGGTGAGGGTCCCTTCAAGCTGGGCGTGCAGGCCGGGGTGAGCGACCCAGGCCAGGGAGAGCGATTTGGGTCGGATTGCTACCCCCAAGCACCAGACGCGTGCCATGACTCAACACAAGATCACCCCTGTAATGACGGTGTGTCCTGTCCGTTCCCTGTGCGTGCTTCTGCCATGCCAAAGAGAAAGCCTCCATTTGGCATGAGAGTGCCTCCCTCACTTGCCAACCTTGCTTTTTGACAGAAGAAAACAAGGCCTGGAGGGAGCTTCCAGGCAGCACCAAGAAGTAGCATCTAACTCTAGTTCAGTGAGATGTCAGTGTTCCCCAACTTCCGTTGTTTTCATCGTGCGGATGTTGAGGGTTATCTGCTAGCTGGGCATGCCACACTGGTTTCCATCTGTACTTACTGAAGATGCCTTTGTATGACATTTAAGTTAAAAATGTGCCATTATTTAATCACAGTTAAGGATGGTACATAGATTTGGCAAAAGCCACGAAGACGGAAGCGGGAGTGTCTGGCATTAGGGGGACACTGGGCTAGACCAGGCAGCGCAGTGGACGCGAGGGCGGCGGGGTGGGGGTGCCCACCTTGGCTGTGGCATGGGCCCGGATCTCAGCGCTGCCAGTGATGTCCAGGGTGTCGTACAGCTGCTCGTACACCTGGGCGAGCACGCAGCAGCATTAGGGAGCCCCGCCCGCCCATGCCCTAGACACAGGAGCGCAGGTCCCCGGAGGCCCTCCCCCTCCCACCCGAGGGTCCGCCCCGCCCGCGCAACCGGAGCCCGAGGAGCCCGAGGAAACTACAACTCCCGAAGAACCCGCCGCGCGGGCACCCCGAGGCGGGCGCCACAGAAGCTGCTGGGAGCACAGTCCCTGTGCTGGGGCGACCGCGGGCCGCGCACGCCTCTCACCTCTCGGATGGCGGAGCAGAAGCGGCTCTGCAGGACTCGCTGGAGGGCCTGCAGCTTCTGCGGGGGCAGCTCCCCGCTGCGCTGGAGCCGCTCGAGGAGCTCCACGGCCCGGGACACGTCTGCGGGCGGGGGCGGGGGCGGGGCGCACAGACACAGAGTCACACACCGAGACGAGACCAGAGAACCGCCGAGAGGAGCAGCGGCAGGTCGAGTCAGGGCGAGCGCAGACAGACCCCGGGAAGGACAGCGGAGCACAGTCGGACATCCCGCAGGGTCAGCGGTGGCCAGGGAGAGGCTGCGACCGCCGGGTGGGAGTCCCCAGGATCGGGCGCGCGCGCTCACGCGCACACACACACGCGCGCGCACACACACACACACACACACACGCACACACACAACTCGCCCACGGGCCCTCCCACACCCACACAGCGCCCGCCCCGCCCACCCCCGCCGGGTGCGTCCGCCCACCCGCGCCGGCCTGGCCCCGGGCGGGGCGGGCACCGGGACTCGCGGACGCAGGCCGCGGCTTGGTGGGCAGGGCCCCCTGGCGCGCGCTCACCCCGCTCCAGCCCCAGAGGCTCCACCAGCGCAGCCATGTCGGTGCCACCGCTGCCAGCCGCCCGCCTGCCCCGTCGCCGGCGAGGAGGGCGGGGCTGCGCGAGGCCACGCCCCAGGCGACGGGCGCCCCCTGCGGAGGCGCCGCCTGGCAGGCGCTGCGCTCCGGGCGCCGCTGTTGCCCGGATCCGCTGCCGCGAGCGCGGGCTGCCCTGCCCTGCCCTGCGCCCGCCGTCTGTCCTGTTTGCGACCCCTCCTGTTGCAGGCTGTCTATGTGTCCCTTTCAGAAATCTTGTCTGCACCTTTTTTTTGTCGTGCCCTCCACAGTTGTCTATCCGCTCTCGATCCTTTCCCCATTTTCACTCAATAAATGCATGTAAAACCTCTTCAGAGCCCAAGGCGACGGACATGACGCTGAGCAGAGCAGACGAGCCCACCGCCCGAATGGAGCTGCCAGTCTGGAGTAGACAACCAACTTCTGTGATAAGAGCTGAGACTGGGAAGGTGATTATCGAGATGAGGAAGTCCTGGAGGAGGGACATTGCAGAGTCCTGGAAGGTAAGACGTGGGGCGTGGGGCACAGCCACCAGGCAGAAGGAGCCCACGTGTCTGGAGAGCAGAGTTGGGACTGATTCATGGCGAAAGTGGAAAGGTTGGCAGGATGCAGGTTATGCCTGGCCTTGTGTGTTGGCATATGCTTGTTGAGGATTTTGGACTTCATGCCAACTCCTAAGAGTAAAATGTGACATTCAAATTTGTATTTTAAGATGACTGTTGGCCACTGTGGACTGCATTGGATGGGCGCAAGAGGAGAAGCAGCAGGCCCAGTTATCACAGCAATCCCCGTGGTGGCCAGCACCAGGGCCAGGCCTGGAGGGTAGGTGGCCAGGTATGCAAAGCGCCAGGGCGAGTCTTGGTGCTCAGCAGTCTACGGGGATAGGAGGTGCAGGGGAAGGGAGTATTAAGGTGCTCTGGTGCCACTTGTTCAGCTGGTCTGTGCTGGTGGAGGGATATTGGATATTTTGAATGTGGGAAACCTGTGTAGTGTCCAAGGGAAGAGGACATCTAAGTCTAGGACTCAGAAGAGCCATCTGGCCTGCGGGCAGTTTTGAGGATTTGGGCATAGGTGGTAGGTATAACCATGGGAGTGGACGAGAATTCTGGGAGCAAGAGAGAATAGAATAAAAAGGACCTAGGACCAGTCCCTAAAACATTTAAAGTCAGGAAGGTGGTAAAGAATGGACAGAAAGGTAGGTGGGAGGAAACCCAGGCAGAAGAAACCAAGAGAAGAGAATGGTTTTAACAAGTGGTCAGTGGTGTAAAATGCTCCAGAGAGGCCACGGACACGCGGGGAAATGTGGACAAGACTTTTGAGAGGACTGGCTGTCACCCGGCCACCCTCTGGGTCAGCCGGATGGGGATCTCAATCGGGAAAATAGCTTCCTCAAAGTGGGAGGACTAAAATCCACTTTGTCTAGTCCTCTCCCCTCTTCTTTAACAAAAAGTAGTGTCTTCACCAGGTTAAACACAAAATCTAGTCACATACAAGGGCTAATGATGAAAAGCACCAGCCCCTGTACTTCTCCTAACTCTGCTCGCTTCACGAGGTGACAACTTATAGATGTTTAGTCTGAGAGCTGCTTCGGTATCTAAATAACATGCTAGTTCTTGATTTAGAGGCAACAGATTACACATTGATTTTCTGCTTTTCCCACCTTTCCCCTCTGTTCCCATAGTTTTATGACAGTAGCTTTTAGTTCAATCAATAAAGTGCTCACATGATGTCTACCTGTTGTTTACTGCAGAGCCCAAGTAGTGTTTTGTGATTACCTTTTCTTTCTCAAACAGCTTTTTGCTTTTTCTATGGCTTTTTATGTACCTTTCTTTCTTTTGGGTGGGGGGGTACAGACTCCATTACCCCAAGTGCCACAGTAACCTCAAAAATCCTGGGCTCAAGCCATCCTTCTGCCTCATCCTCTTGAGTAGCTAGGACTACAGGCACATACGACAGTGCCCAGCTAATTTTTATATTTTTAGTAGAGACACCGTCTCGCTCTTGCTCAGGCTGGTCTCAAACTCCTGAGTTCAAGCGATCCTCCCGCCTTGGCCTCCCAGAGTGCTAGGAGTACAGGTGTGAACCACCATGCCTGGCCTTGTTTTCTTTCTTTTCCCACCTTCTCAATCTCTTTCCGATGAGATCAGGCACGTTCAAGGTTGTACAGGTGTAGACTCAATTTCTTTCATTTCAAAGTCTCCAAAATGGCTATTTTGTTGAATCTTTTTTTTTTTTTTTTTTTGGAGTTGACTAGTGCAGAATTTTATGCTGAAAATAACACCAAACTTGAGTGTAAGACATTACCACTTCCAGCTTGCTTTTGGGGACCCGGCAAATGCAGTTTGTTCCAAAATTGGTATCCCGTGTCTGAATGCACCGCAGGCAGCACAAGTTCTCATACCCTTGCTTTTTCCATTTTGCAATCAGGTTTTTGTCTGTATACCCTTCTTTAATACAATATTCATATAGTTCTCTGCTTATGGCTTTCCGCTTATAAAAGAGGTCAAAGATATAGCGGGTTTTCTGGTGGTGGATCCTGAAGATGGGCCACAGAGATTCCACTTTCCTCTTGCCCTCATGAGGCTCTGTTTCAGCTTCTCTCATCTTTTGGTCTAATTCATCCAGTGTTGGTTCGATCAATTCCCAGCCATCTGGAGGTGCTTTCTGGCTTCTTTTGACTTTAGGCATTTCCTCCTCCACAAGACAATGCAAAAAGATCTTAGAATTTGCTTCCCAAGAGTGTAACAGAAAGATCTCTGGTCTCTGCAGTTACAGGCTTGGATTCTTGTCCGGCCCTAAAAATTATTCTGTGACTTTGGAAAGGTCTCTTTTCCTCCTTTCTTCAGTTTCATCCGAAGACCCCGCACCTCAGGCCGCCGTTTCTCTACTCTATTTTGTTGAATCTTTTTATCCCCAAATTTCTTGGAAACCTCAGTCCACCTACCCCGATCTGAACCAACTGCACCCTAGCAACCACCGTCCTGGGACTTCCCTCTATTGCTCTCCTGGATTGGGTTGTTGCCCCTTTTAAATCCTTCATTTCAGTGCAGTAGGGCTACAGCTAACTTCCTAAGAAGGTTGCGAGAGGTCTCTTATTTTCCTTAGTTTCTCCAAATCCATCTTTCCTAGTGCTTCTGGTGTTTATAAGACTAGCTACTAAATTCTTAATTTCAGATACTGTTTCCCAGTTCTAGAATTTCCATTCTTTAGACCCAGATCTGTTAAAATTCTCCATCTTTTCCTTATTTTGTCAACATGTCATAGTTATTTCAGTCTGGTAACTACATCTGAACCACCTCTGGGTCTGTTTCCATTATACATTTTTTTCCTCTTGGTTTTCAGCAATTTAAGTCCTAACATGCCTGGCAATTTTTCAGTGGATGCTGAGTATAAACCATAGTATGTGTAGAGGCTCTGAGTGCTATCTTCCTCCAAAGTGGGTTAAGTTTTCTTCTGGCTGGCAGACTGCCCAAATCCTGATGAGGTCTTGTTTTAGGCTTTCTTAGCCTGACCTAAGTTCAGATGTGTCACTCTAGGCACCTTAAGCAGGGCCATTCCACCATGGTGGGCCTTGAGGCTGTCTCACCTAGAACAGCATGGCTGCTAAAATCTCTGCTTAGCTCTTCAGCCTCCAAGTTATTGCATTCTGCTGTGGTTTTTTTTTTTTTTTTTTTTTTTGAGACCTCAAACTCCTGGGCTCAAGCAATCCTTCTGCCTCAGCCTCCCGACTAGCTGGGACTACAGGCATGTGCCACCATGCCTGGCTAATTTTTTCTACATATTTTTATTTGGCCAATTAATTTCTATTTTTAGTACAGATGGGGTCTTGCTCTTGCTCAGGCTGGTTTCAAACTCCTGAACTTGAGTGATCCTCCCACCTCGGCCTTCCAGAGTGCTCGGATTATAGGCGTGAGCCACAGCGCCCGGCCTGATGAGTTTCTTGAGGGTCTTGCAATGACGATGAGCGCCTTAGGAGTTGGCAGCTGCCTCAAGGTATGGTTGCAGGTAGGTTTGGGAGCTCGATGTCCTTCTATCTGGGATTTTTGCTTTCAAGCCCCAGCTGCCTGGCTGAACCTCTGTGAACTCTGCGCAGTGAAGACTGCCCATTCCAATAGTCTATTTGCCCGTGCTAACTTGCTAAATGTCCTCAATGGGAAAGCAAGGGTAAATACAAAGCATATCTCTGTGTGCTTTCCTTCTCTTAGGGATCATACCCCCTCTCTCTCAAGTCTGGTCTACACTGATTGCTCTCCAAAAGCTTTTGTAAGTTTTGTTTTTACATATTTCCTCTGACCTTATTGTAAGTGGTCTGTGCTATGTTAGTCCAAAATGGGCTCTTAGCCAATACCAGAAGTCTAGTTACAGCATCTGAGATATCTATGAGAATATGCTAGAGGTATTAAGTTCTTTTAGTACTAAATTCCTTCCAGGATCAGATTTTCTATTTATTTTGTCATCTCTTGGCTTTTTCTCAAATACCTGGGTATCTTTGGTCATTTGGGCAGAGTAAGACCATTAAAAAACAGACTAGGCCGGGCGCGGTGGCTCACGCCTGTAGTCCTAGCACTCTGGGAGGCCAAGGCGGGCGGATTGCTCGAGGTCAGGAGTTCGAAACCAGCCTAAGCAAGAGCGAGACCCCCGTCTCTACTATAAATAGAAAGAAATTAATTGGTCAACTAATATAAATATATAAAAAAAAATTAGCCGGGCATGGTGGTGCATGCCTGTAGTCCCAGCTACTCAGGAGGCTGAGGCAGAAGGATTACTTGAGCCCAGGAGTTTGAGGTTACTGTGAGCTAGGCTGATGCCACGGCACTCACTATAGCCTGGGCAACAAGCGAGACTCTGTCTCAAAAAACAAAAAAAAAAAAAAAAACAGACTAGAATCTTGTGGGGTTGGTCACAGACTGCCTCAGGGTTAACAGACCAAGTTTGCCTTTAGGCTGAGAAACTTCTAAAAGACAAAAGCAGGTCTCCTATGTATATTTGCCTAGGCAGCGAGAGCCCACCTCCTAGGTATCCTGAGTGCTGAAAGGGGAGTCCTTGTTTTCTTGGAGTTGTAGTCTTGATGCTGTCTACATTTTTGCAGGGCCAACTGACTTCCTTCTCTGAGATCACCGGACTAATGTGTTCTCACCATCTTTAATCTTCTGTCCAGAAACTTGCTGACATCTCAGTTGCTGGTGGATGCTCTTCTGTTTCTGCTGGTTATTCCTCTACTGTCACTAGTATTAAGTGAAAGCGTCTGCCACAAAGCAATGGGAAGCCTCCCCCGCCCCAGGCCTGCCTAGCCTTCCTGCTCTGCCCATTGCTCCCCACAAGCTGCACAACCTACATTTCCTGTGTCCCACTCCCCTACACAGGTATCAGCTTCCCTTGTATACACTCAAACTTGCTGTTTCCTAAGTAATCTGGTCCTCTTCTACAATACATTCCTCCACCAAGATAGGTGGGGGTACGAATAGCCCCAAGGAACGTGTGGAAGAGGTTTAAAAAGAGGAGGATAAAAGCACAGGATGCAAGACACTTAGAGGGTTTTCTTACCACAATCTTAAACAGCTCTGGTATACTGGGCAGAGAGCCTCAGCCTTAGGTCCTAAAGCTCAAACTCTAGGCATGCCCTGAAGAACAAAGTAGGGTCATCAAGTCAGGTGACAGCCGGGTGTCACCAACTGTCAGGACTTTGGGAGGCCAAGGTGGGAGGATCGCTTGAGGCCAGGAGTTTTAGACCAGCCTGAGTAATACAGCCAGACCCCGTCTCTACAAAAAATTTAAAAATTAGCTTTTTAGCTAGTTAGCCGGCACTTACTGGGTCCTATAGCCCCAGCTACTTGGGAGGCTGAGGCAGGAGTATCGCTTGAGCCCAGGAGACCAAGGCTGCAAATGAGCTATGATCACGCACACCACTGCACTCCAGCCTGGCAATAGAGTGAGACCCTGTCTCAAAGGGGAAAAAGGCAACAATCTTCTCGGGAAGACATAGCAGTGAAAAAGAACCCAAGGCACCCACAAGCAACAGGAAATTAATTTTATTTTGAAATACAAGGGGCCAGAACAAATAATGAAACTCCTGCCCTCAGAGGGCAAACTTAGGTGGCCAAGGTTGGGGGAGAGGATGACAGCAGGAGGGTAGGCGGGATCACGTCCAAACAAAGCAAGCGGAGAGGACCTCTTCACTCTGGTGCAGCCTCCATCAAATACCCGTTCTCTGGAGCAAGATACCCGTCGCCTCCCTCAGACTCCATATACATGTCTCGGCCGTCATTGCCCAGACCCTCCAGCCCGTTGTCCTGGCCGCCGCCACCCCCACCTCGGGCCTCATCCCTGCCCCGCTCACTGCCCCGCTCCCCCCGCTTGTGCTCGCGATCCCGGTCTCGGTCACGGTCCCGGCGCCGTTCGCGCTCACTCCTGTGGCTCCGCCGTCGTTCCCGGTCCCGATCCCGGCCCTTCTCCTCTGGACCATCAGGGCCATCAGGACCGAGCTCCCCAGGAGGACCGTCATCAGGGGGAGCATCACCAGCCTCAGAGGGCTCCGCCATGTCGCCGCCGCCGCCGCCGCCGCCACCGCCACGCAGCTCCTCTTTGCGCTCGCGCTCCCGCCGGGCCCGCTCCCTGCTCCGGCTGCTTCGCCGCTTCCGTTCTCGGTCCTTGTCTTTGCTCCGCTCTCTGGAGCGCCTCCGTTCCTCCTTGTCGCGACTCCGTGAGCGCCTCCGCCGGTCCCGAGAGCGGGAGCGTCGCCGTTCCCGTTCCTTGTCTCGCTCCCGGCTCCGCTCTCTGCGCTCCCGCTCGCGGTCCCGGTCCCGGTCCCTGTGGGGAAGCGGGGAGGGGCCGGGCCTGGATGAGGTGGGCAGAGGTGTGCGGCAGGGGTCCCCCACGTGACCACCCCTATCCCAGGAAACTGCTTGCCCAATCTCACCTCTCGTCGTAGCGGGACGTATCATCGCGGCCTGAATGCCGGATGTTCACGTCGGCTCCACCTCTTCGGGTACCACCGAGGCCACCTCCTAGGGCAGGGCAGATGAACAGAGAGTCAGTCTGCACAGGCACAGCATCAAAGGAGAGGGGTCTCCAAAAGCAAAGGCAGGAAAGCAAGCCCCTGCCGTTGCTGTCCACCGGGCCAGGTCCTGCGTGCACTCTAGTCACAGGACAAACATGTCTCACAGGCACAAGGCTCCCACAGAGGGCTACTTGGGAAACAACCATTACTGGAACCCACGTGTGACTCCAAAGGTCATAATCTTATACTGCTCACTACACAGATGCCTCAAAACCGTCCCTTTGAGTCACCCTTGCCCTCACACAAACCCAACGCCAGTGATCTGAAAATGTGATCTGCTTAAAAGCCTTTGGTGGCCTTGCCCACCTGAAGTCCAAACTCCTTGTCAACTGGCTGTAAGAGCCAGCAAGAGCAGTCCCTACCCAGCTTCCAAACCATGGCAGGGACTCCTGGCACTGTAAGCCTCTTCCAGGCTCCTCACACTCGTCTTCCTGCCACAGGATCTGCGCACACTGGGATCTCCCTGGAATGACCCCACCTTCGTGTTAGCCCAGACATCACTTCCTCAGGAAGCCTTCCCCACCTGCCAGACTAGGCCATCCTCCACTGCATGCTCAGTTTCAGAAATGCTTCCTTCACCTCGAGTCTGAGGCCAGCTGTCTGTCTGTGTGAGTGGACTGCTGCCTGCCTCTCCCACCAGGCTCTCACGCACCATGAGGGCCAACACGTGGCACTGCAGCTGACATATAAAGGTGGATGTGTATTTGTCAAGTGCATAAAAGAACAGCCCTGAGAAACAGATGATAGCATCATCACTCGGATGGGGAAACACTCAGATCAAGTCACTTGCCCACGGTGACTCAGCAAGGATGGTGTAGCGCTTGTTCGTCACTCCTGTCTGCCTGCAGGTTGAACCTGCCTCCTCTATACCACACTGCCTGGAAGAAAGCTGAGGGAGGCAGGGCTCAATTCCATATAAGAAATGAATTCTGACCGGGTGTGGTGGTTCACGCCTGCAATCCTAGCACTTTGGGAGGCCGAGGAGGGAGGACTGCTTGAGGCCAGGAGTTCGAGACCAGCCTGGGCAATAGCGAGACCCCGTCTCTACAAAAAATAAAAAAAGTTAGCCAGGCATGGTGGTTTGCACCTGCAGTCCCAGCTACCTGGGAGGCTGAGGCAGGAGGATAACTTGAGCCCACAAATTTGACGCTCATATGATTGTGCCACTGTACTCCTGTCTGGGCAACAGAGCGAGACCCAATTTAAAGGCGGGGGTAGGGGGAAAACATAATGATGTCTAACCATGACAGTGGGCAGGGTAGGGGAGATGCTGTGTGGATATTAGGGAGACATTCAAACAGATAGCAGGCAACTGACCAAGCACCTGGAGTGTTACAGGTACAGGACAGCTAGATTAATGTTTTCAATTTTCAGGTCACCAGCCAGCAATGAGTTGGCTATGACTGCAACCAACATATTAAAAAATAAAATAGCAGAATACAGAATACAACTATGGAGCCAGGAGCAATGGCTTGAGCCTGTAGTCCGGATACTCCTATCCTTTGAGGCAGGAGTCAAGATTGGCCCAGGCAACATAGCAAGACCTTACCTTTACAAAAAAAAAGAGAAGGAAAAAAAAAATACAACCATAGCCACATATAGATATATTATGACTGTTTTAGAAAACTTTTGTTTAGGTTATATGTATTTCTGCATATGCACTATGACAAGATGTTGGTTAACTCCAACAAAGTTTGAATGTCAATCAAACTAGGAGATTCTAGAAAGATTCTGACACTCTAGGCTCTCTCCCCAATAGGAAGTAGCAGAGCCTCAAGAACCCATTCCGCCCCAGAGAAACCAGAGGAAGGTAAGAACGTTACCTACTAAACATAGGCACTCAGCAGATGAGTGTGTGGTCTACTAGCACAGGTGGGGCCTGAGCAAGGGAGGGCTGGGTAGCAGGACAGGAGCTAAGGGTGGTTAACACTGCCTAGGCATCTGCCCAGGAAAGATCTACTCTGAGAACTGTCACTCAGCCTCGTAAGATCCAGTCTTCAACAAGCATGTCTGGATAAAAGGACCTCAGCCCCAGGTTCAGGCCCAACACTGAGCCAATGAGATGGGCCCTCTGCAAAATGCAGAAGGAACTCATCCAGGACTAGGTATGCAGCAAGGAGTCACGGCATGCTATACTGGGCCAGTGCAAGGAAGCACAGAAGAGAACCCATCTGCAGAGATGGCAAACAAGGCAGAAATAAGCTACAGGGACGTCAGACATGGGCTATCCGGCTCTTGACAACTTCAGCTGCCAGGTGCTCTTGAGGCCCAAGAGGCCCCTTTTTGGAAGCTCAAATGTATTGCTGAAACTTGTAGCCATACTGACCTTGACTGAGACGGTAAACTGGCAGACAGTGAGGGGAACTATTCAGTAGGAGGCTCAAAGGCCAGAGGCTGCCCCTGTCTTGCTTTTGACTAGAAAGCAGTCTGGCACACAGCTAGTGTTCAAACAGGTTACTTGCTCAATGAATGAATGAACAAACAAACAAGAGCAAGAGCACAGTACAAGCAGGTGAGTGAAGTAACATTTACAAGCCCCACTGTGCGTCAATTGCAAAGCTGGGTATCTGATGCACTGAGCTCAGTGAACTCTGATGTTATTCCCACTGTCCAAGATGAGGAAGAGGAGGCAGGCAGAGGGGAAGTCGACCAGCTAGTAAGTACGCAAGCCAGCATCTGGGGCCTGGCTGCTCCTAATCAGTAACCCAGAATGAGAAGGCAAGTGGGCATCAGAAATATGATGGCCATGAAAGAGATGAGCTAGGAGAGATGAGCCAGAGGGAGGATGTCAACAGCTGAGCAGAGGAACTGGCAAGAGGCAAGAAGAAGACAGAAAGCAGCAGAGGGTGTGGCAAAGAGAGGGGAAAACAAGGCCACCAGGCCCAGGGCCCCTAAGAGCCCAGTGTGGGCAGGATGTGCTCACCTAGCCGCCGGGGCCTCCAGCCCTTCACGGTTCGGCCCCTCTCCACATCCACAAGGACCCTTCTGCCATCAATCTTCTTGCCGTCTGCGTGCTTGTAAGCGGCTGTAACAGATGTGGGGAGGGGGGAAGGGGAGAGGAGTCCCCAGAGGGTCCTCTAGTCAGGACAGGCCCAGGTCTGTAGCATCCCCACCCCATGTGTCCCCGTCATTGCACTCACACACACACACCCACCAGACAGCCAGGCAACTGACAGGCAGACCAGCCCTCTCCCAAACCGGCGAGGGGCCTGCTCCATCTCAGTCCCGGCTTCCTTCGCAGCACCCCCAACCTCCAGTAGGGGGGCAAGACAGCCACCCCCAGCCAACCTCCCCCAGGCCCTCAGGCCTTTCCTACTCCCAGACGACGGAGCAGCCCCCTCTTGCCAGGGTGGCCAAAGTTGCTGCAAAGAAACTGGAGGTTAACTCAATGCTGGACTCTGCTGTGGGGGAGGGGGCTCCTCCACAACCCCAAGCATGCACCCTAAAACATCATGCTGGGGCAGGAGGCCGGCTGGGCCGCTCCGCACCCCAGTTCACACCGGTTTTCTTTTTCTGTTTTTTGGGGGAGGGAGAGTGTGGGGGTAACAGACATCAGAACAGAAAATGAACCAGAAGGGGTGGGAGAAATCTTCAGGAAATGGAAGGGAGCAGAAAGGCGGGTTATGTGCTCCCACAGGGCCTGGAGGGGCCCCGCCGCAAGGGGGAGAGGGAAAATGGAGGGAGGCAAAGGGAGACGTGCGGTGCTACTGAAAATCCCTGCCTTACCTGAGATGACTGACCCTGCCACCCACCCACCCAGCCCCGCCCCATCTCATCCTCCACATCCCCAGCTCCATACGCACTGGAGTCCACCCAGCCTGTGCCTGTCACAGAAGGGTGAGGAGTAGAGGAGGAGACGAGGGGAGAGGCTCGCTGCTGCTCTCGGGCAGGACACAGCGAAGGGCAGGCCTGATGCCCTGGCCTGTAATCACACAGGGCTGTCGGGAAGGCCAAAAAGTCCCTGTCCCCACCCCCAGCCCTGGCCTAGGGGGCTGTCCTCAACCAACCACGCCCCGCCCCAGCCCGCTCCCCCCCAAATAACAACCAGAGGAAGAGAAAAAGGTGCCATTTACCGATGCCGGCCTTGCGGGTGTCCAAACCGAGCGGGATGGGGGGGGCTCGGCAACTCCTGGGGGCCTGGCGAGGAGGCGGGCTTCCCGGGGGGGGGACACGGGACCGCTTACCTGGAGCCCCCAAGCTTACCTGAGCACGCGCACAGACCCCACCCCCACCACCATGGGGTCAGCTAAAGCTACAGGAAGGGCAGGTGGGGGTTCTAGGGAGCCACAAGGGAGAGGAGCCACATCTCCTGCACCAGCTGGAGACAGGCAGAGGAAGTGGTGGACACCAAAGCAGCCTCATGGAGGCCTTAAAAAGGGGGAGATAAAGATTAACACCAAATCTGGGAGCTAGAAAACCTCGGGACTATTTTTTTTTTCAATTTAAAAAGAAGGCTGAGGAGGCCTCAGGAAAACTGTCCACCCTTACCAATTCCCGATAAAGGCACACTAAGCTAGGCACATGGGCCACCACTGAGGACCTGGAGTGACGTTTCCACCTGCAACTGCACACTCCCTCCCACCAGCTGCGTCAGCCTGAAGGCTGGCACGCAGGGGTCCAGGAGATGATTGCTGCTGGGCTCTGAGGAGGAGGGGCCGCTTGGCCCCTGAACCCAGAGGGGATTCAGGGAAGGAATTTAAGGATCAGGATCACAGTGAAGCAAAGGAACCCTGCTCAGGTTCGGTGTCCCAAACCCCAAAAGAGGCCCAACCCAGGAGGAACAGCAAAGAAAACGTGTGATTGTGTATGTCTAGGCTTCTCTCTCTCTCTCCCTCTCTTAAGTCTCTAGACAGTAGAACCTACTACACCTTCAGCTGTTTGCAGCCTGCCCCTTGATCCCGCCCACACCCCAGCCCCAGTCCCATGCACTTTGGGGAGCTCCTGACCACCTCTTGAGAGTGGCTGGGCACCACAGCCAGCCCCTCAGGAGGCCTCAACCATGGTAAGGAAGACAGGAAGGGGGCAGAGCACCCCGAAACTAGCAACCAAAAAAGAATCTCCAAAAAGATTCACAGTGACAGCCCCACAGAAGGGATGGGAGGCAAGGAGAGAAGGGCTAAAAGGTTCCACATGGAGCCCTGGCCCTACTGCACCCAAATCTTCAGTGTTCCCGCCACCTTGCCGCTGACGTCATGAAGCCACATAGGCAGGGGGTTGGGTGGAGCCCAGTGGAGAGGCTGGCTGCCTTTCCCACAGGGGTTCATCCTTCCCCTCCTAGGATCAGCAAGATTCTCGGAGAGCATATGGATGGGGGCAGGAGGGACAAAGGGCACCCAAACAAGGAAAGGGCTGTGGGTGCAGGGAGGCTGAGGGGGCAACTGGGGTGGGAGTAGGGACGCCTCGCTGCTCCTGAGCTGCCTGGCTAAGCTGGGCTGGTGTGCGGTGCTGAGTGATCTTACCCATGATACAAACCCTTATACCAACCATACACTGAGGTGTTGTAAGGGGAGCGTAAGCATCAGCTGCAAGCCAGCTGCGTGGTGGCTGCAGTGACAATAAGAACAGTCAATTAATACGGCGGCCCCTGGACACGCCGCAGCCCTGCCCACCCCCACCCACCCATCCCTGCCCATGTGGACGCCGCAACAGCCTCAAAGGGGGCTTTGGAGCGGTGGGGGCAGGCGCTGAACACACCTACCACCCCACTGCCCATTGAGAACAGGGTGGGGGGCTGGGGGTGGGGAGGTGGAGGGTTGGGTGGCCCAGCCCCATATTACTGGGGGGAAGAGGGGAAGGTACAAAGGCCAGTCCTCATTCCAACCTGGGACCCCCAGTTCTGGTGGGGGGAATAATGGGGAGAGGTTCCCCAAAAATCCAACCCGTCCCCTCACCTCCAGCTGACCCCAGCCCCCACCCAGTTCCCTCCTTGCCCCTGAAGTTCAACGTGTGACACTTACCTCCCCGGGTTCACACACACACACACGTTGTGGGGGATTTGGTTTTTGTTTTTTAAAAAACACGTATATAAAAAAAAAAAAAGATATATCGGAAACAGAGGGAGGAGGAGAAGAGACATTGCTAATGTCAGGTGTGGCAGGGTGGGGAGGGGACAAGACGACTGGGAAGGGGCTGGGGCAGCAGAGAAGTGAGAGAGGGCCAGAAGGAAGGGCTGAGGAGGGAGGTACTCACAGTGCATGTCTCGCTCGTGTTCATACTCGATGAAGGCATAGCCTCGGGGCTTTCCTGACCGCTTACTGTAGACCATGTGTATCTGCGGGGTGGGCGAGGGGCAGGTCAGTTCTGCCACAGGGAAACACCACCCAACCAATCACATAGGACAGCCCTGGGCTGTCTGATGCCAGTGACAGATGCCTCAGAATCTCTCTCTGTCCTTCAAGAACTCCAAGTGACTTATGCTGTAATGGCAGGAGCAAAGGGCACAGAGGAGCACAGAGGTGGCTTCCTGGAGAAAATGACACTTAAGCCAAGACCTAAACAACAGGGATGAACAAGGGAATAGAGAGGTGTCAGCCTGTCAAGTGGAAGAGTAGTAACACCAAAGGTCTATGGGCTTAGGAGAAGCAGGGGGGTAGGAGGCTGGGTGGCTTGAATATATTTCAATGACGGGATCCTAAGGAGATGAGGCCACAAAGGTGAATGGGTCCCAGGATCATCAAACTGACGCCAGGCTGAGAAGCACGGTCTATAAGTACCTGAGAAGGCTAAAGGCCAATGTAGCCAGCCCATGCAGTTGGGAGGAAACACAGGGAAGTAGGGAAACAGGGCAGGAGAGTTCTAGGGTAAAGAGACAGAAGAGCCTATGCAGACACACCTAGCATGTGCAACGCCAGGGAGGAGTGAGAGAATGATGGGTCCTACCATGGGGATGGGATGGGATGGGATGGGTGGAGGAATGCAAGACAGGTTTCGGGGAAGGGCCCTGGATGGCCAAACCATAGCAACTGGACCTCTGTCCTGATACCTATAGCCATGGGAGATGTGAGCAAACATAGAGTCAGCTCTTGGTGTCAGAAAGACCCTCTGAGATCATGTGGGAAATGGACTATGAACGATGGTCTAGGCAGGGCTGCTAGGACAAAGGGGGTCAGGATGAGCCAGGGAACGCTTGTGGGAGGTGACAGCATTTGAGCTGCTCCCCAAAGGATGGTTAGTTCTGCATTCACATCACTACCAGTGAGCAGCCCACGTCATAGATGGTTGTGACCCTGAGTTCACCTAGTTGTAGGACTTGACCCCCGGGACCCTACAGCCCCCCAAAACCAAACTGAGATTCCAAACTGACCCTGAGTCCTATGAACTCAGGGTCATAGATGGTTGTGACCCTGAGTTCACCTAGTTGTAGGACTTGACCCCCGGGACCCTACAGCGCCCCAAAACCAAACTGAGATTCCAAACTGACCCAAAGTGGGATCAAGGTCAGGGTCAGGGCTCTCTCACAGGCCTTCAATACCAGGGGACTGGCTGGGCGTGCTGGCTCACGCTTATAATCCTAGCACTCTGGGAGGCCGAGGCAGGCGGATTGCTCAAGGTCAGGAGTTCGAAACCAGCCTGAGCAAGAGCGTCGAGACCCCGTCTCTACTATAAATAAAAAGAAATTAACTGGCCAACTAACATATATAGAAAAAATTAGCCAGGCATGGTGGCACATGCCTGTAGTCTCAGCTACTCGGGAGGCTGAGACAGAAGGACTGCTTGAGCCCAGGAGTTTGAGGTTGCTGTGAGTTAGGCATAGTGTTACCCTCAGAAGGCCCTGTCACATTCTGGGAGAATATGGGAAAAGGAATAAAACTGATAATTTATTGAGCCATGGCACTCACTCTAGCCTGGGCAACAAAGGGAGACTGTCTCAAAAATAAATAAATAAATAAATAAATAAATAAATAAATAAATAAATAAATAAATAAAATAAAAATTACCAGGGAACCAATCCTTATGAGAGCCTGGAGCTAGGGAGAGGCAGGCATGAGACCACTCAGTGCCCAGCACTGGGAGTCCCAGTTTGTGTGCAGGATGACCTCAAGCCCCCATTACTGCCCAGCGAGGGCCCACATCTGCCCACATTAGAGATTGGGGAAATAAGGCACAGAGCACTTAAGTGACTTTTTAAATTAAATATCAGTAAAACATAAAGCCTTGCTCTAAAACAACAGCCATCATACATTTGTTGTAAAGGGCCAAAGAGTAGATATTTCTAGCTTTGAGGGCCCTATACTCTCTGTCCCAATTACCCAACCCTGCCTTATAGCGACAGCAGCCACAAACGACGTGTAAACAAACGAGCCTGCCTGGCTATGTGCCAGTAAGACTTATTTTACAAATAGTAAATCTGTAGTTTGCTGACCCTGCTCTAAATCAACAACCAGCGACGGTAACTTCTAATTTTACCTCTGTGCTACCCAAGGTCTGCTGCATGGAAGTGCAGTGAGGATGTAAACACAGGCCACGAAATGACATCAGGCTTCCTTAGGACTGAGATCTTTCTCTCTTTCAGGCTACAGCCCCCTCTTCCACCCACTCCCAATACAAATAAACCTGACTCAAGCCACTTACTCTTTTGATGGGTCCGTACACCTCAAATTCTCTCCGGAGCTTGGATTCTGTTGTGTCATAGTTCTACAACAAGACAGATACGAAGTTAAATGGGAGAAGGGAGGTGTCCCAAAGCCCTAGGAACATTCCCCAGGACCTAGCCTATGGTCCTTTTTCCCAGATTCTGGCTCTCAGCAGCCTGGAGTTCCAGAAGGGAGCTGGGGACTCACCACTCTAGCCACAAATAGAGTCTTGAAGGCATCACCCTGAGCATTGGGATCATTGTGAGGGTCCCCTGTGCAAGAAGAAAAAAGTATGTAAGAAGGAAGCATCCATGGTCTCGACACAACAAACAGATGGGCAGAAACCAAGAAGATAAAGAAGGAATTAAGGGAAGCCACCAACTAGAAGAAAATGGCTGGTGACCTTGGGCATAGCCCTCTCTGAACCCTGGTTTTTCTGAAGCACAGTGGCCTTTATCAGAGGGGCTGATAAATGATGATTCAGGCTGATGCGAGGAAGGGGTAAGGCTGACTTCAAGCTGACAGGATGTGGCAGGCCTAAGTGCCATTTCAGACATACATACCCTAAGGGCCCCATCCCTCCCAGGTGTAGGGTGATCCGTGCAGTAACTGAGCCCAACTGGGTCTCTCCAGAGATGCAGCCTGATACCTGCCTCTCCTGGTGCAGAGTTCCCTCCCTTAGGCAGGGCTGCACTGCCACCCGATGGACACAGACTGCAAGTACAGCCCACAGGAAAACAACCCTAAGGTTAGGATTGAGCAGCAACAGAGGAGAATCCGAGCCCTGCTTTTTCCTCTATGTCCCATGGCCTCTGGGAGGAAACCAGGGCTGGTGCTAGAGCAAATGAGAAGAGCTAATTAGCATTAGATCAGGTTCTTACTCCAGCATTGCTACAGTAAGGCAAATAATTGTCCTACATGGCCACTGAGGAATAACAATCTCCAAAGAGAGGATCCTATTAAGAAATCAATCCCTGGCCAGTGTGGTGGCTCATGCTTGTAATCCTAGCACTCTGGGAGGCTGAGGCGGGAGGATCGCTGAAGGTCAGGAGTTCAAGACAAGCCTGAGCAAGAGCGAGACCCCCGTCTCCACTAAAAATAAAGAGAAATTAATTGGCCAACTAATATATAGAGAAAAAATTAGCTGGGCATGGTGGTGCATGCCTGTAGTCCCAGCTATTTGGGAGGGTGAGGCAGGAGGATTGCTTGAGCCCAGAGTTTGAGGTTGCAGTGAGCAAGGCTGATGCCACGGCACTCTAGCCCAGGCAATAGAAAGAGATTTTGTCTGAAAAGAAAAGGAAAGGAAAGGAGAGGAGAGAGGAAGAAAGACAGAGAGAAAGAAACCAATACTGTTAAGTGGTTCCACTGGGAATAAATCCTTTCACCAAATATGGTGACCCTAGCACACATAATGCCCCTGACCCCAGCTGGGGCCCTAAAGGCACTCTGCCCATTGCACAGCGGAGGTGTTTCTTCTGGGGTATAGTGTTACCCTCAGAAGGCCCTGTCACATTCTGGGAGAATATGAGAAAAGGAATAAAACTGATAATTTATTGAGCACATACTATGTACGGCCCAGACACAGCACTGGACACTGAAATGTATCTATCATTAGTTTGCAAAAGAAGCAAAAACCCGACGCATGGAAAAGGGGACGTGTCATTCCATGTCAGAAAGCTCAGGCAGGCTTTGCCTCCCCGGCCCTGGCATTCATACTACTAGGTTTCCACCCTAAATCCCTGGAGGTTATTTTCTCAGGAAAACAGTGTGGGAGTTACAAGAAGCCAGAGAAACAGTCTCAGATCTGTTTTTTGTGAGGGTTTGGCTATAAGCATAAACCAAGATCAAAATGACTTGAGGAGTTCTTAAAAAGCAGAAGCCTGAGCCCAAACTTAAGGGAATATCTCTCTGGAAATTACTGAAAAGACAACTCCATCTTTGTGTTCTCCTGTCACATCCCAGTTCCTTGCCATACATACCTCATCCTTCCCTGTGCCCAGCCTCACTCTCATTCACTCGCCAGGCAAGTACTAAGCACCTAGTATGTGCCTGGTACTGTTATAGGTGTTGGGAATTTGGCAGTAAACAAGACAAAACTGGTCCCTATCCTCATGGAGCTCAGATGCTACTGGAGAGGGAAAATAAGGAGGTCATATATAATTACATTAGATGATGAGAGAGAGATGGGGACAGGCCGGGGACAGTGGCTCACACCTGTAATCCTAGCACTCTTGGAAGCCAAGGCAGGAAGATCGCTCAAGGTCAGGAGTTGGAGACCAGCCTGAGCAAGAGTGAGACCCCATCTCTACCAAAAATAGAAAGGAATTAACTGGCCAACTAAAAATATACAGAAAAAATTAGGCGGGCATGGTGGCGCATGCCTGTAGTCCCAGCTACTTGGGAGGCTGAGGCAGGAGGATGGCTTGAGCCCAGGAGTATGAGGTTGCTGTGAGTGAGGCTGACGCCACGGCACTCACTCTAGCCCGGGCAAAAGAGTGAGACTGTCTCAAAAAATAAATAAATAAATAGATAGAAGGTTAGGAAAGGCCTCACTGAGATGGTGACATTTAACCAAGGACCTGAAGGTGTCACAGCAGCAACAGGAAACACCTTGAAACACCAGGCAGTAGGTGGTATAACAGGTACTGTGGGAAGACTACTACTGTGGGACCGATGAATGCTGCCTAGGGGAGTGGACGGAGGCCAATTAAGAGAGCTGAGCTTCCTGAAGGGCAGCCAGAAGGTGCCAACAGATAGAAGAGAAACCACCCCAGGCCCACCACATCCTAAGTCCCCCGTAGTTCTTGCTTACCCAAAGGGCCCATGAATGTGACTACAGTTGAAAGCAAGTGTAGCCAAATCAACAGTACCCAAGTAGCTGAAGAACACATTAATTAACTGAAAAAGGCGAACATGGAACTAATGCTGGTCAGTGGTCCACCAGTCAGTGTACATGTGCACTGTGCTGGCAACCCTATCCTCAGGAAATCCTTGCTTAAAGGACTTATCTAGGTACCACCCAGAGCAGGGGCTCCAAGGAACTGGGCTGTGGAGCTGGGAAACCTCATTAGGGTTTAGAGGGCTGCGATAACATCTCACTGTAAGCATGCTCGCCTCAACAAGCCTCCATTTTTTTCATCTTAGAAATGGTAGTAACCACTCCCGCTGCACTTGGAAGCTGTGGCAAGTCAATAAGCTGTGATAAGTACATCAAGTGCTCAGAAAGGGGGCAAGGTCCCCTTGAATGGTAGCTGTTAATTGTGATGGGGTACAGCAAGCTTCTGTAAGAAGGGACACAGATACCCTACTGAACTTGATCCATCCTTTTCTTTTTCTATTATGGAGAAGTTCAAATACTTTTAATGGAAGTAGACAACAGCAGAATGAATTCCTGTGAGCCAGCTTCAGTTATCAGCATATGACAAATGCATTTCATCTCTGCCCTCCTCCATCCCCACTGGATTATGTGACAGCAAACCCTAGACATCACATCATTTTGGTCTCTAATAAAGACTTAAAAAAAAAAAAATCAAAACCACAGTACCATTATAAAATCTTTAAAACGTTAACATTATTAATTCCTTAACCTCATCTATGATCCAGTGTCCAATATTTCTTAATTGGAACTGTTTTGAAAAATCATTTTTTATAATTAACTCTTTAAATCAAGATCCAAAAAGTTCCACACATACCATTTGGTTGATCTTTTTCTTTTTTTTGAGACAGAGTCTCACTTTGTTGCCCAGGCTAGAGTGCCATGGCATCAGCCTAGTTTACAGCAACCTCAAACTCCTGGGCTCAAGCGATCCTCCTGCCTCAGCCTCCTGAATAGCTGGGACTACAGGCATGCGCCACCATGCCTGGCTAATTTTTTCTACATATATTAGTTGCCCAATTAATTTCTTTCTATTTATAGTAGAGACAGGGTCTCGCTCTTGCTCAGGCTGGTTTCGAACTCCTGACCTCGAGCAATCTGCCCGCCTCAGCCTCCCAGAGTGCTAGGTGGTGGTGTTTTTTAAACAGGGTCTCACTGTGCTGCCCAGGTTGAAGCGCAGTGGTGTCATCACAGCTCTCTCCAACCCCTGGCCTCAAAAACAATGCTCCTGCCTGGGACTCTCAAAGTGCTGTATTACAGGTATACGCCACCAAACCAGCCATGTTTTGAGTTTTTATCCATATGGTCCCCTTCCTGCCCTCCTTCTTTTGTCATTTAATTGTTAAGGAAACTGGATCACAAGCTTGTCCAGTATAATTTCCCACATTATGAATCTGGTACAAGGTGAGTCTGGAATGGTGAGCAGGGATTCTGGTCTTCATGTGGGAAATAAGATGAAGCTCTTCACAGAAGTACAATCAGAATTGTACTTAATGGGCCAGGTGCAGTAGCTCATGCCTGTAATCCTAGCACTCTGAGACAAAGTGGGAGGATCACTTGAGCTCAGGAGTTTGAGACCAGCCTGAGCAAGAGCGAGACCCCCATCTCTACTAAAAATAGAAAAAAAATTAGCAAGGCATGGTGGCGTACGCCTGTAGTCCAGCTACTTCGGAGGCTGAGGCAGGAGGATCGCCTGAGCCCAGGATTCTGAGGTTGCAATGAGCTAGACGAATGCCATGGCACTCCAGCCTAGGAAACAGAGTGAAACTTTGTCTCAAAAAAAAAAAAAAGTATTTAAGACAGACTCTAGGTGGACTTTGGCTGAGGTAGATGGAGGCAAACTAATTAAACTGTAACCATATCATCGAGGGTAGCGGTAGTGGACATAGAGAGAAGGGTTAGATTTGTGACACTTATAGTAATAGGGACAGGTTGAGTAAAGGGCAAAAAAGGGTCATGACTTGCGTAGTCGGATGCCCATATCCCAGAGAAGAAAACACTCAAAGGAGACCAGGTTGGTGGGGAAGGAAAATCCCTATTGTGGTTTGGACACTGAGTCTGAGATGCCTTTGAGGCATCTGAGAAAGGACACCAAGGCAGCTGCTACAGTGAAAGTCAGTGCTCAGAGAGTTCCCAGCAAGATGCCTGGCATGCATTTGATTAAGCACCCTAAGCAAATCAGCCACTCCAGGGTTTGGATAAAGTGATCCACCAAAGCTCACAGGTGTACGGAAAACCCAAGTCTTCTGACTACAGTGGTACCTCACTTAACAATGGGGCTATGCTCTGAAAAATGTGTTATTCAGTGATTTCATCGATGTGCAAACACCAAAGCATGTACTATGATGGTAGAGCTTGCTACACACTTGGCTACATGGTATATAGCCTATTGCTCATAGCCTACAAACCTGTACAGCATGCTACTGCACTGAATGTTATAGGAAACTATGTCACAATGGTAAGTATTTGTGTATCTAAACATACAAAAGGTAACAGTAAAAACACCATATTATGATCTTATAGCAAAACCATCATATATGTGTCTTATTGATGACCGATACATTGTTATGCCGTGTATCACTGTATGAACTTTTCACTGTAACAATAAAAGGCCAATAGTGATTGACCCTCTGGTGAGTTTGGTTAATAGCTACAATGTACCTGTCTCATGTCCCAATTCCTCCTGTACCAGGAGGGGATAGAACATCCCCAGCCTAAGGATCAGGGAGCTAAGGGTGGAATGAGGATTGACTCACTAGACTGTACCTCACTGCCTGAGCCGGGGAGACCCAGCTGGGCTGTGGGTGCCCCTTAAGTACACTCCCCTGCAGGGGGAGCCCAAGGTACCAGGGGTCTCCATGCCAATCTTTACTCCATGCTCTCCTACTTAAAAGACTAAACCAAATACAGAACTTGGCAAGTGGTAGGGGCTAAATAAGTGAACTAACAACCCTGCTCCCCATCCCCCAAAAAGGCCTCTGAAAGGGTAGAGTACTGGATGGGACCTGGGAAGAGAAACACAAAGGGTTTGGGGGAAAAGAGAGGTGAGAGGAGGAATAAGAGACTTACACATTTTTAGCTCCGTCTCTACTTCCTGCTGTCGCCGCTCAATCTTTTCCCGTCTCTGTTGGGAGAAAGAAGAGGTGAAGAATTGAATGCAAACAGAAGTGCCCTGATGTCAGGGAACAAACTGGAGAAAGTGGCAAAACAGACATGGGGTTAGGAGGCAAAAATGACATACCTTCCTCTCCATACGTTCCTCCCTGGTTTCTGCACGAGTTGGAGGAGGGGCATCTCGAGGGTCCTAGGAACAAGAAGAGGGATGACAGGGTGGGAAGGACTGGGGGAAACGGCAAGAGACACCCACCAAGGAAATAAGCATTTCAGCCTCCCTACCAGCACCTACTCAAATAAGCAAACAAACATGGACAGCTCAGTGGAAGCAGGGGAGTGGCACAGACCAAAGCATGGTCCATTCCTGGTCTGTGACAAGATAAACACAAAAATTGGGAGTAAGTATTCAGAAACTTCTACAGCAATTTGACAATATAGTTTCATGTTCCATTAAGCCTAATAATAAAAATTTGGTCTTTTATTTTGTACATCCTTCTTTAAAAACAAATTATAAGAGAAATCAAAAGTAATTCTATCGTTTTTATCAAAAGCATCAATCTGCAATATATTGGAAACACTTGTTCTTCACCAGTTGAAAAGCCCTGGCACAGGTGACACCTTGCTTTGGAAAACAGCATCAAAGGTCCTGTCTTCCCTATTTAGGAAACACACTGCTTCTCACAGCTCTAAGTATCATTTACACTGAACAAAGTGCCAGAGGATGTGATAGGAGAGGTGTGATGGGAAGGCCACCCCTTATGCACACCTGGCCCAAAGCAACAGCAGGACACAGTGCAGGGCTCTGAAGCTGACAACTGGACACCCTCTGATGGCCAGGGCAGTTCACCAGCCACTGATTAAATAGTGAACCACACGTGACTGACATCAAACGGCACCACTGGCCTGTACCCACTATATTAATTTAATTAGCTAATAACACTTCCTAAGTGCCGGTTCATCAAGGATGGCAAATCCCACTAAAGATCCACCTTCCTGTTATCTACTAACGCTGCTTTGCAACTCCCTCCATCTCCAGCTGCACTCCCCCACCCAATGCCAGAATGTTCCTCTTATGACTTCTAGCCATTTATTCATGTTTATCCCAAAGGCGCAGAGCTATGATTCCCCCAAGTCTTGGCCGGGCACAGTGGCTCACACCTGTAATCCTAGCACTTTGGGAGGCAGAGGTGGGAGGATCATTTGAGCTCAGGAGTTTGAGACCAGCAAGAGCAAGACCCTACCACTACTAAAAACAGAAAAATTAAATAAATCCCCAACTCTTAAGCACTCTAGTATGTGAGGCAATCCTTCATGAACACCATCCTATTAACGATAAAAACAGTAAATACATTAACAAATGCTGACATTTACTGACTGCTTTGGTGCCAAACCCTTTGATACACTTTGCCGTTTAATTCTCTTTCAATATCACAAAGGTGTTATCATTACCCTCTTGCTAAACATAAAAAAAAAAAACCAATGCATTCAGAGGATATAACACTTGCCCAAAGTTACATAGCTGATAAATGGAGTGGGCCAATGACTACCTGACTCAGGAGTCTGAATTCTCAACCACTTAATGAATTTTCACAAAAACCCTACAAGAGATATACTATCAACCCATTTAAGACAGAGAAACTGAAGATCAGAAGACATCATCTGCCTAACTCACACAGCTAGAAAATGGCCAGAGGCTGGATTCCTAAATCCAGCTGCCCCCCAAACCCAAACCACTCCCAGTCTGCTCAGTGAACTCACCTCAAACTCTCGGATGTATGGCGCAATGCCACAGTAAGGTTGATTGTGGTGTTTTTCATGTGGCAGTTTCTCCAGTGGTGGCAGATATGGGATGGGGTCACGAGGGGCAAAGAGGGCCAGAAGATTGGGCGGCAGGAATTGGGTCATCTTGCCAAGTCTGAGAGCAGAAGCAGGACACTTTAATGTTAGAGTAGGTCAGTAGAGATGAAGCCCTTATTACCCTTTGGCTCTCAATAGAAAAACAGTGAAACAGGAGAGAAGTTTCAGTATCAAAATTGGCTCTGTAAAGGCAGAGAATGATTCTACGTCACGAGAGAAAGGGGAAAATATGGATGAGAAAGCAAGATCTTGGTGGGAGGGGGTGAGGCTAGAGCCTGAACTGAAACAAAGGCCAGTAAGGGAAACAAAGACTGGAAGAGGGTTTCTGAGTAACGAAGTCTCAGAATCCCAAGCCAGGAGCTGTGGGGCTGAGAAGTTCCCTGGGGGTTCGTAAAGTAATCAAGGATCCTGAGAAGGGAGGCCCAGAGCAGCTGTGACTGGTGGTCCTGTACCTTGCAAAACAGATTATGAGACGGAGGGCACAGGGAAACGGGGAGGAAAGTCTCCTAGCAAAGGGAAAGTCATAAAGAGCAAACCTTCAAGCCAGGGGCTTGTGGGTAATAGATGTGGGCCCCCAAGGACGAAAGGAATTATGGGTAAGGGTCCAGGACAACATAAGAAAAAAGGCAACGTACCGCAAGGGCCTGTGGGTAGGGAACTGAAGGGGAGACCGGGATGGCTGTGGGAAGCGGGCTTGACTGCCCAGAGAACTCTGGGTGCGCGGTGCAGAAAGGTGCTCTGGCGAGGACGTGGGAAGGGGACCCTGCCGCGGGTGAGTGGACTAAGGCCCACCGCAGGGGCTTGTGGGTAGCGGCCCCGCACCCCGTAAGGCCGCTCAGTCACACTCACCCGCCGCGCGGCGCCCTCTTCGGCCTAGCGTCGGTCTGGAGGCTCGCGGCGGCTGCGGCGGCCCCTCACAACAAAGACTCCTCCGGCTTCGACTCGGGTAGAGTCCGTGTCTGTCTGCCTCCGTCGCCCTCACAGCGCGCGCACCAGGCCGCAGCTCAGGAACCCGCGCGGCCTCGGCTCGCGACGGAAGCAGGGGGTGGAGCCCGGCCTCAAATCCCTCCGCCGCCCGCACTGCGCATGCGCCATGCCAGTCTAGCCCAACCCACACATCAGGAAGTGGCGCCGCCGCGGACACGGCGCACGCGCGAGGTCACTAGCCAGCCTTTTGGTAGCCTTAAACTCCTTTGCCGCCGCGGACAGGCGCCCGTAGAGCGCATGCGCTCTCCACACACAGCCGCCCCTCCACCTCGCTCTGGGCTCCAACCGCTTCTGTCCGCGAGACTCTTATTGATGCTCCGCCCCTTTCCCTATCCCACTACACGGCTCTTTCGCGCATGCGTGGTAGCAGTGTACTGTGATAACAATTCGCCGCCGCCTGACAAAGAGTCCCTAAGTGAATACTGTGATTGCGTTTATGTCTAATCTATTCAACCAGTAACTGTATATCATATCTTCCTTTCTTGGGCAGTGGACAACAACAACAACGAAACTGTTCATCTAGCATCTTGTGTTTGCTAGGCGTTCTTTGGGTTCTGAGGCTGCAGCACATGATTAAAGCAAAGCCTTTTCCTTATTGGAGCTTACATTGTACTGTGGGAAACAACAAAGGTATTTAAATGATTAAATATAATTTCACATAGTAGCCAGGATAATGAAGAAAAATAAGGCAGAATAAGGGAATAGGAAATGAAAGCGAGGCTATTTTTAAAGGGTAATAATAGAAGGCTCCTATGAAAAAGTAACATTTGAACAAAGGCGGGATAGCCAGGAGGTCTAGGCAGGGTTAACACCGAGCGCAAAGGCCCTGGGCTGGGACTCTCAGGTTGTTGGCCATGAGAACAGAGAGCTGGCAACCATGTTTCTTAGGGTCCTGTAGACCTGCAAAGAGTTAGATATTGTACTTTTAAGTTTCTGGATAGAATCAATTACCTGTTTCCTAGTAACTACAAAAATGATTGCAAAATTCAAACTACTAATTTCTTGTTTCAGGAAACCTATGATATAAAAGCACATACTTCTAAGAGTATTTTGACACTTTTGCTTTATCTGACTGTGTATATGACAACTCTATGTGCTATTTTGGGGCTTTTTTGTAAGCCTAAAATTATTTCAAAATAAAAAGTTTAGGGGCTGGGCTCGGTGGCTCACACTTGTAATCCTAGCACTCTGGGAGGCCGAGGTGGGAGAATCACTCAAGGTCAGGAGTTTGAAACCAGCCTGAGCAAGAGCGAGACCCCTGTCTCTACTAAAAATAAAAACTAATTGGTCAACTAAAAATATATAGAAAAAATTAGCCAGGCATGGTGGTGCATGCCTGTAGTCCCAGCTACTCCGGAGGCTGAGGCAGAAGGATTGCTTGAGCCCAGGAGTTTGAGGTTGCTGTGAGCTAGGCTGATGCCATGGCACTCTAGCCTGGGCAACAGAGTGAGACTCTGTCTCAAAAAAAAAAAGTTGAAATAAAATAAAACGAATCCTGCCCAAAGCTGGGCATGGTGGTGCACACCTGATGTCCCAGCTCCTAGCTACTGGAGAGGTTGAGGCCGGAGGATCGCCTGAACTCAGGAGTTGGAATTTAGATGGGGTAATATAGCAAGACCTCCTCTATAAAACAAAAAAACTAATCCTGCCTTAATAATGTATTTTTTCTTTTCTTTCTTTCTTTTTTTTTTTTTTTGACAGAGTCTCACTCTGTCAACTCTGGCTAAGTCTGGTGCACAGCCTAGCTCACAAAACAACTTTCAAACACCGGGCCAAGCGACCTCCTCCTCAGCCCCAAAGAGCTGGAAACAGCTATCGCCAACCGGGATGCCTGGCTAAGGTTTTGGTTATAATATTAGTGCCAATAATTTCTTGTATTTTTAGAAATGGGGGGGTCTGCCTGCCAGCGTTCGAACTCCGACCTTTGCAGCAATCCTCCCACCTGGCCTCCCAGAGAGCCTAGGGATTACAGCGTGATCACCCGATGCCGCCTAGCAAAATATTTTTTTTTATTTTCGCATATTAGGGGGATACAGATTTTTTTTTTTTTTTTTTTTTTTGGAGACAAAGAGCTCGCTTTGTTCCCAGGCAGTGGAGTGCCGTGCGCCAGCCTAGCTCACAGCACACCTCAACTCCTGTGGCCTCGAGCAGAGTCCTTGTCTCAGGCTCCCGCCGAGTAGCTGGACTACAGCATGTACCAACATGCCGCATTTTTTTTTTATAAATAGTATATCAGTTGGCCAATTAGTTATTCTTCTATTTATATGTAGAGACGGGATCTCCCTGCCAGCTGTGTGCGAACTCCTGAACCTCGAGCAATCCCCCGCCTCGCCCTCCCAGAGAGCTAGGATTACAGGCGAGCCACCCGCGCCCGGCCCGGGATACAGATTTTAAGGTTTCAATAAATGCCCATTCCCCCCCTCTACAAAATATTTTTAAGAAATTTAGTTGAGTGTGGTGCCACACACATGTAATCTCAGCATACCCGGAGACTAGAAGAAGGCAGACACTTGAACCCTGAGTTTTAGGTTGCTCTGAGCTATGATGAGCCACTGCACTAAGCACAGCAACACAGCAAACACTGCCCAAAAAAGAAAAAAAAGAAAGACCCACAGGGCTGTGTAAAAAAAAAAAAAAAAAAAAAAAAAAGAAAAGACCCACAGACCCACATATACACACCACACCACTTTTTTTTTTTTTTAGACAGAGTCTCACTTTTGTTGCCCAGCTAAGGAGTCCGGGGCATCAGCCGCTCACAGCAACCTCAATCTTGGGCACAGCAATCCTCCTGCTCCAGCTCCCGAGTAGCTGGGATACCAGGCACCGTGCCACCATGGCCCGCTAATTTTCAAATATAGGTGCAATAATTCCTCTATTTATAGAGAGGCTCATCTTTCTCAGGCTGATTTTTCAACCCTGACCTCGAGCAATCCGCCCACCTCAGCCTCCCAGAGAGCTAGGATTACAGGCGTGAGCCACCACGCCCCGCCCCTGATGTACATTTTTCAAAGATCATTTTAATGGCTATGATCAGAAAAAAATTCATGGAAGGGGCTGAAGGGGAAACAAGAGATGGTTAGGAAGCTACAAGTTCCAGGGAAGCGATGATGCCTTGGACTAAAATGGAAGCAGTGAAATGGTAAGATTAGGGATACATTTTGAAGATAGAGCTCACTTGTTCAAGTTCTATAGGAATAAAATTAGAGTGTATAGGAAAGAAGAAAGTTACAAATAACTCCTAGAGAAGATTAAGGAGACAACTGTGGCTGGGCACGGTGGCTCAGGCCTATAATCCTAGCACTCTAGGAGGCCGAGGCTAGATGATCGTTCAAGGTCAGGAGTTCGAGACCAGCCTGAGCAATAGCGAGACCCCTGTCTCTACTATAAATAGGAAGAAATTAATTGGCTAACTAAAAAAAAATATATATATATATAAATTAGCCGGGCATGGTGGCGCACGCCTGTAGTCCCAGCTACTCGGGAGGCTGAAGCAGGATCGCTTGAGCCCAGGAGTTTGAGGTTGCTGTGAGCTAAAGCTGATGCCACAGCACTCTAGCCCAGGCAACAGAAGTGAGACTGTCTCAAAAAAAAAAGGAGACAACTGAATATAATGTGGGATCTTGGACTGGATTCTGAACCAGAGAAAAAATATTAGTGGAAAACTGGTGAGATTCAAATAAGGTCTGTAGTTTAGTTACTAGTATCATACCAATGTCAATTTCCTGGCTTAAATAATTATACTGTGGTTGAAATTGCTGGAAGTTGGGTGAAGGATATATGGGAACTCTACTTTTTTTTTTTTGCAACTTTTCTGTAAGTCTGAAACTACTTCAAAATGATAAGTTTAAAGAAAAGGAATATTTTTTTGAAATAGGGTCTTGCTCTGCTGCCTAGGCTAGAGTGCAGTGGTGAGATCACAGCTCACTGCCACCTCAAACTCCTGGGCTCAAGTGATTCTCCCGCCTCAGCCTACTCAGTAGCTGAGACTACAGGTGTGTGCCACCACATCTGTCTGATTTTCCTGGTTTTTTTTTTTGAGACAGAGTCTCGCTTTCTTGCCCAGGCTAGAGTGAGTGCCGTGGCGTCATCCTAGCTCACAGCAACCTCAAACTCCTGGGCTCAAGCAATCCTCCTGCCTCAGCCTCCCGAGTAGCTGGGACTACAGGCATGCGCCACCATGCCCGGCTGATTTTTATATTATATATATTAGTTGGCCAATTAATTTCTATTTTTATGGTAGAGACGGGGTCTCGCTCAGGCTGGTTTTGAACTCCTGACCTTGAGCAATCCGCCCGCCTCGGCCTCCCAGAGTGCTAGGATTACAGGCGTGAGCCACCAAGCCCAGCCAGCCAGGATTATTAATGGAAGATTAGCTTCATCTTAAAATTTAAGCTGGGTGCAGTGGCTCACACCTGTCATTTCAGCATTATAGGAGGCTGAGGTGAGGGAGGATCACTTAGACCTGGAGTTTGAGACCAGGCTGAGCAATATAGCAAGACTTTGTCTCTACAAAAAAAACAAACAAAAAAAAATGGCCGGGTGCGGTGGCTCACGCCTGTAATCCTAGCACTCTGGGAGGCCGAGGCGGGCGGATTGCTCGAGGTCAGGAGTTCGAAACCAGCCTGAGCGAGACCCCATCTCTACTAAAAATAGAAAGAAATTAATTGACCAACTAAAAGTATATATACAAAAAATTAGCCGGGCATGGTGGCGCGTGCCTGTAGTCCCAGCTACTCGGGAGGCTGAGGCAGGAGGATCGCTTGAGCCCAGGAGTTTGAGGTTGCTGTGAGCTAGGCTGACGCGACGGCACTCACTCTAGCCTGGGCAACAAAAGTGAGACTCTGTCTCAAATATAAATAAATAAATTAATTAATTAAAAATAATAATAATAATCCTGGCTGGACACAGTGGCTCACACTTGGCATCCCAGCACTTTGGGAGGCCAAAGCTGGAGGATCCCTTGAGTTTGAGACCAGCCTGGGCAACATAGTGAGACCTCATCTCTACCAAAAAATAGATAAATTAGCAGGGTGTGGTGGCATGTGCCCATAATCCTAGCTACTCAGGAGGA